TGGATCACAGTTAGTTGTCATGGTGTTGAGGGATAACACGCGTGATCAGCATGTGAACACCTCATTGGATCACAGTAAGTTGTCATGGTGTTGAGGGCCCAATGACCTCTGGGTACTATTGCGCAATTTTTCCATTTTGTGACGGAGGAAAAAAAAAAAAACTAGACCCTGTGAGCAGGGTAACTGGGATACCTGGATGGTACTGGATCCTTGGAATCAAGTGTAGTGATACTACGGGTGTCGGATTAGTATACTGAAATAGTGAGCTCAAGTCTGGCTAAGGGCATACACCTATTTTAAAACATAGGCATGATATGCATGCAAGAGTTATTTTTTGTAGGGTGGGTGGATTACTTGTGGTCTACATTCTTACAAAAGGAAAGAAGAGTATTAACGTGGAAAAGAACGAAAATGTCGAATTACCTCACACACAGGTATTTTGTGGTAGATTATGTGTGTTGTGCGAATAAATGTAACCAAAAGTAAACTGTATTGGTGCCACAGATACCTGTTAGTACAAAATGCAGACAGCAGACCGGATACAAAATATAGACTGGAGACTGCAGAGTGGGTACAAAATGCAGACTGAGAATCTGAAGAGTTTTTACGTCTGGTAAATAATAACATGTCATCTTACAGCTTACCGAGCGTCACGCAATCGCTTTTCCTCGATCAGCCTTCACGATTATTTGCACTATTGTGGAAAATTCCTGGCCCATTTCTTGATGAAAATCGATCGTAATATAATTTCAAGCCTTCAATATACTCTTCTTATTTTGTGCGCGAGTTGGTTTGTGTGATGTCTGTACAGATTTTACCAACGTAATAAAAAAGTAGATGATGTGAATAACAGTGATGGTAAAGCAAGCTTAAAACGGCAGAAATCACCAGAAACTACAACGGATACACAGTTCGCGACTCAATCCGGTCCAAAATTACCGCTCAATAACATCTTTTAGTGTGGACTGGCCGCGAACAATACGACTTGTGTATGCGTCTGTAAGTATTTCGAGCGTTTGCGCTATAACGCTTCAGGTGATCGTAATCCAAACACGTTGAAATACGAAACGACCGACAAAAGAAAATCTCGTGCTCGTCATGTGACCCGGACCTGTCCATGCATGACAACGTCAATCATCATCAAGATAACACGTGATCAGCATGTGAACATCTTCACCCTCATTGGATCACAGTTAGTTGTCATGGTGTTGAGGGCCCAATGAACTCTGGGTACTATTGCGCAATTTTTCCATTTTGTGGCGGAGGAAAAAAAAAAAAAAACAAAAAAACAAAGGCATTTTATGACTGGGCTACCACAGGTATCCCAGTAAAAAAAAGACGACAAAAAAACAAAGGCATTTTATGACTGGGCTACCACAGGTATCCCAGTAATAATCACTACGGAGAGTGATCTGTGCTGAATCGGTGTCGCGTTACATGATATCTCTGTCATCCAATATCAATATTAAGTTTTTCTGGAAGGAAAGGAATGGATGGGACTCCAAACTGAACTTCGAACTGGGCTGGACTGAACAAGTTTGGACTGGACCGACAATAAAGCCTAGTTTTCTGAGGATAAAAAACTTCTCGTGGTACGAGGCCTTGAGCAATGAAAGCTATAGTGAAGGTCTAGAAAGATTGTTATGTGCTACAGTATATATACGGTGTAATAATCAGTATCACTCATCAATAAAATGTTTCAATAAAAAAAATGGTTTTTTTTTTAATTACGCACGACAGCACAAGTTTTAAACTATATTCTACATAAAAAATTATTTAACTCCTGTTACAATAAAAATGTGATAAAAATCATATCAAATAAACTTTTAACGGTTTTTCACTATCCATATTCGACGCATTGTGTTTTATCAAAAATCTAACACAACTGATTTAAATCGACTTTTAACCAAATATAGCTTCTTTTTCTTCACCTCAAGACCCGTTGCAATTCAGTTGCTTCTTTCATTGAGGGGCTCGTACAAATTTTGCCTTTCAGACCCCTTGAGAGGCTCATAGGCAGACTCTGTTTGAGACCCGAGGATGTGCACTGATGCACCTGGTAAACCACCTTCCAAGGTCTGCACATTTTGGTAATCTGATGCCGCAAATAGTGTTTGCACATTCTGGTAATCTGGTGTAGCTGTAATAGGTGTGTTCTTGTTCAAACTTTGGTAAAGATGGCAGTTACCAGAGTTATCGTCAGCAGTACTGTGACAAGCTGTGGATATGGAAAAAATACAAAATATTGTTTAAGCTTTCGATCGGAAATGACCATGATTGATTAAGTATACCAATCAAAAATTGATCCAGTGACTCTTTCTTTTAAAGTTTTCCAGCTGGTTTTAATCCTGTAGATGATGGAGACATCATGTCATACCTGTGAATTTCCTCGGTCCCAGGTGTGTTTTGTGGTAATATCGTGATCACAATTTTTTTTTTTTGATAGAGACCACCCAAAAACGATCTAATTTCCTCTTTGCTAACTTACCACAAATGTTAATAAGTCCTTGGTATGCCGATTGACCGTCTTGTTCAGCGGAGGTTGAGACGTGCTCCATTAGTCTTCCAATTGGAATTTGATCGTGATTTTCAACCACTTGGTTCCCAACTAAGATCAAACACCATATTTATAAACCAATACAGAAGATATATGGTTCTATGGAATAATCGTTATGGATTTTAGACTCGCGTTATTCTTTCAAAAAAAGTTGCCATAGTGTTTCAAAGACAATTATCGTTAACTTAAAGGCCCATTTCCAACCTTGATGCAACGCGCGTCGCTATACCTAATTTCCTGTAACACGAAATTCCCAGATCACTGAAAACCTTCTAAAATCGTCTTTCTCAAGAGCCATCCTGGACATATAGTCGACTGTTTTACGGTAAATACATTCGCCATTTGTCATTTTACAGTTTCCTTACAGTATTTTAAATTTTGTCCGGAAGAATCCGAAGAAAGTTTTTTTTTAGTGTCACGCTTGGATCTCTTCATACTCTGTGAACAGAATCGGCGAAAAGGACAATGTTCAAATTTTTTCACTTTCTAGAAGCGCTTGAGGATTCTAAATGAAGATAAAATATTTCGAATAGAAATTAGTATTTGTCAAAGAGAAATATGGAAAAATATCAGACTGTTGGACGTTTCGTTATTCGAAGACCGTGTCCAGTGAAAAGCTAGTGGAAATTTTCTGAGTGTCACGCTTGGATCTCTCCGCACTCTATGTACAAGGTCAGCGAAACTGATAACGTTGGTATTTTTTCACTTTCTAGAAGCGCTTGAGGATTTTAAATGAAGGTAGAATATTTTCCAATGAAAAATTGGTATATTTCAGGGAGAAATATGGAGTTATTTGAGGACCGTGTCCAGCCGTGTCATTGAACAGTTTTTAAGCGTCAAGCGGTTGGATGGCTTCGTACTCAGTATACAGGGTTAGCGAAAAACACCAAGTTCGAAATTTTAGGCTGCCTGGAAGCGCTTGAGGATTGTAAATTAAGATATAACATTTTCGTATAAATATATTTTAGATTTCGAAGAGAAATGTGGAAAAATATCGAACTGCCGGACGTTTAATTATTTTAAGTTAAGTCACTTCATTGCAGGAACGTCAGCGACACTGACAGTTTGCGTTACAATTCTTATTTGCTACTTTGCATGGACAACAACCTCGACCACTCTTTCGAGCGCAAGCTCCTCTCCATGGGCAGGAAACTTCAACTGACCAATTGGTCCTATTTAACAAGGATGGCAAATTTGATGAATGGATGAAAACGTGGTGGATCAACATTTTCACCTTCGAAATAATCGCAAGGATTTTCGTATTCCTCTTTAGCAACAACTGATCCATAAGCGTTTACCGCCTCGGAATCTACAAAATCAATGGATTCATCTGATTCCATGCCGGATTAAAACGTATAGAACTGTTTTAAGCAGAATTATTTTGACAAGCTCTTCAAATTCATCGGAGAAAACGCAGAAGGTATTTTGAGACAACGTGACAAGGTAAAAATAACTGACCAATCAGAGGCGCTATTTGAACAAAAGCGGTGGTTCAAAACAAAAAAAAAACGACCGCGTTGCAAGGTTGGAAATGGGCCTGTAATGCTTTTTTTTTAGTTAATAACAATCGCTGTCAGTAGTAACAAAATGCAATCTTTGGCCAGTCTAAGTGTTAGAGCTGCAAAAAATAACTTAATTACGCATTTGAGACCCATAATGATGCAACTCTCTCAGTCTCAAACTCTCCGATCCATTTCAAGAACCTGAGGTAGTTATCCCATGCATGGCCTTGTTTCAATTCCTTTTACCTTTTCCCAATTTGCTTTGCTTTCAGTATCCTGCAAAACTTGTAATCTTATTCGATCTACTATGTTACTAACCAATCATGAGGAAACCTTCTTTCAAAATACACATACCCCTATGCTGCTTGTGAATTTAGGTGTCGGCGGCCGGGCATTTCATCCCAAGCGCTAATTGCAATGCTTAATAGACTTCATTTTCTTCTTAAGTTTACAGCCTAATAGGTCGTTCATGAGCGTATCTTGTATTGAAAGAAGTGGTACATTTTTAAATCACCTGCTGGCTTTGTTTCTTGCTGACCGTTCTTCCTGTGTGAGGAATTCGAACAAAAATATACTAAGAACACGTAGTTTAATGGTAAAACCAATGCTTCTGTTTTTGTAATAATGGAAGCAATTTGAAAACAATTTGACTTAGAAGCAAATTTATGCACACGACAAATCTTGCTCAACATTGGATCAAAAACAGTCGTGATTATCAGTAGTTAAGACATAGATGTCAGAATCATTGTATCACAGGGAGTGAATAGACTAAATGATGTGAAGATACTTTCAGGAAGTCAATTTTTCATTTGACCAATTAAATCTGATTATCACATATTTGCCAAGCCTTTTTGTGCTTTTTGATAAGTGCTCTCCATATTCTATTTTCCTCAAATGTTGTTTATTTTTTGCATCACATAATGGTCCTATCAAATCTGAAACCATCCCCATACACGCATTCAAAGAGATGATAAGTCAAGAGCAAAAACAATACATATATAACACTTACGATTTCCTTCGCTTGCAAAATAAAACCAGAACGCTAAGAAAGATTACACACACAACTGCACACCCCACAGCGATGCCAATCACGGCACTATTTGTCCTTGTGTCTTTAGTCCCTTTGCTTGTGGCTGATTCTGTCTCTGAAGTTGTCTGCTTGAAACCATAATAACTATTAAAAGGTACTTGTTGGTTAATTTGCTCAATAGATGTTCTGTTCTGCGCTACCCTCATTGGTAAATGCAATTTCTTGTCCGCAAAACACTGTGACATTCCAAGTGCACACCCCTCCGATAAAGCCTCTATATATTCAATTCTTATATTCAATTATAAGACCCTTCTTTGATAAAAAAGTACCCCTCTAACCGTACAATATATTTCAAACTTTATGAGTTTGACGAGCCTACTAGTAGGCATGATTACAAGTTCCTTGTTTCTTCAACTTTACGCGACAATCTCGGTTGCATCTTAATCAACCTACACATTTGCTCTCACGGGTAAGGGTATGTGAAGATGCTCATACCTGGGTTAGGTAAATTGTCTCCTTAGTGCCCGTCGTTATAGGGATCTGTCGAGATAAAAAATTAAAATGGATAAATATCGTTTTAAGAATTTGCTAAATAAAGATATTTCTATGGCTATAGGAAAAAAGTGAAGCTGTCGAGTGATCCTCGTCGTATAATCCTTTAAAATACTGAGTACATCTTTTCGACCAAACCTTCTATTCCGCTTTCAACTTGGATCGAGATTGAACTTAGGAGAAAGCAGCAATTGAAATGTAACAGAGCAACGGGAGGACGATTATGCATATAGAGATAATGGCAGGAAACTCAATCACACGTACTCACTATGTTTTCTCAGAATAACTTAAATGGTGTTGGTAACTTTAAATACAGTAAACTAGAATTTTCCAACAGCCCAACGCGATGTGAAATACTTTTAGATCACGCGCACACTTTCCACTTCTAAATCAGGGTTGTGATGATATAAAAAGTTTGCTATGGTACCTATTTAAAGTGTATCTAAGGTAATCGTACCGCAGAAGGTGATGAATACAGTAAAGATGAAGCTGCAGGACTAAGTGTTGACCCCACCAAGTGCTCTACGGGACCTGAAAATCAACCAGATCGGTTAAGAGATACGTTCATTTAAGTCTGTTAGCCACACCCGTTCCTTACGTTAAGGATGACTTCGGCAAAGGCGTTCATCATATCGAACAGAATCTATGGTGTAGGCTTTGATGCATACCAAACCAGTTGAGAAAATGAAAAAATATATATTTTAACTTATAGAAAGTTGATAAAAAGGGCCTGGTGGACGGAAGCTGAATAACATCATCGACTTTGTAAGATGCTAAACAGCGTGAAAGCTTTGAGAAAAGCGCACAATTTTTCTAAGCAATCCGTCTGAAAGTATTTCATCTGCTGAACTTCAACCGTTACAAAAACAGACATTCTATGCAAATTAACCTTGCCATATCCGTGAAAGTCTTCCAAACGTGAGGTTACAGGTGATATTTCCTTCCAGTTTGAAGAGTAGGCAGCCTTCTTTGATGCCAGAAGGAGGCTGGGAGCAGCTTACTCCCAGATTTATTATTCTTCCCTGCAAAATGGCGATTGGATCAACCACCTATTGGTAAGAAAACAAAGCAAAATCTATTTTTCTTTAAAAAATGAAATTGCTTAGGATTGTGAAAACGAGAACTCATTTGGTCGTGGATACGTTTCTCTTTAAGTGATTCATAACGACAAATCCGATTGAGCTCCTATAATAATCTATAAAAAAAAATCGGAAAATCCTGGGCTATCCATGGATCATAGTTCTTAATAGTCCAAGAATCGTATTGCTCCTTTCATCGTGGCCAATGAACAGAGTAATCGCACACTATTTATTTGGAGTCTTAATAAACTAAAACAATGGCATGTTTGATTCAAATAAATAGTTCTGGTAATCAGTTATATTACCCAGCTAAAGCTGACAATTAACCGACTTTTTAAAAGGAGTGTGTTACACTAAGTTACATTGCCACTGGGATCTGGAGGCATACAAGTTCTTTTTTTATTTTGGTGGTATTATCAGCGATTACCTTCTTACAATAGGTTGGGGAGGGATCACGAGCACGTTAATAGACCACTTGTGAACACCCTTGACTTAAACGATTTCAGGGGAAAAAAACAATGATGAGATCTTTCTTGAATGGAAAGCTTCGTCGGGATCAGAAGTGTCAATCTTTAAGGAGAAGAATAAAAATAGATAACCTGATACCTCAAAGGTTGAGCGAAAATTTTTAATCACCTTTAAATAGTATGCCCTGCTCTTGTTACTCCATTCAAGGACAAAGATTTCCTTTGTTCTATTAGTAAGTCTGTCAACTGGAGTCTTTTCCCCGTGACATCCAATGACCCAGGAAGAACTAATGTTTAAAACACAGGCCACCTTCTTGTATAATGCTGTTTTTCTTCCCCAGCTCGGCTGAGTGCTTAGAGTGTATACTCCATGCCACTCTCTTTCATAATGAAATAAGGTGTTGTTCGCACATCCTGTTGATAGAGGTAGAGCAGGAGAAAGTTACTTTAACTGCACGTGTATGTAATTCGCTAAGAAGGTTTTCAATTTTGTTTGAAACAAGGGGATAACCAAACAGATACATTACTGAAGTTGAAAAATAGCGACATAGAATTTCTAGGGATCAGGGTAATATTCTTTAAATTTAAACAGAGAAAACTTAAATAGGAAAAAATTTTGCTCGGACAAAAGCATAACAGCGCAGAACCGGCGGACGCAGAGTTGCATGACCAGCTAACAAATCAGGCGAAGGTTTAGCTGACAGATACCTGATCCATATCCGAGACATAGAGCGCTCCTCTTGCTCATTTTGACTTGAAATGGAGGGTGAAACCTTCAGTGGCTTATTACTTCTTCTCGATTTTCAAATTCGTATTCAAGAAACTCAAGTCTAAAGTGCCACCACAAATACAATGAAACTTCCACAATAATTCGCTCTTGGTGATGAAATTTGTCCTTTATTTGCAAACCAAAAAAATAATGACCTTTGACAGAGCAACAGAACAGTCGCGATCGATTTTGTCAAATCTCCATTTGTCCAAGCGATATTTTAACATCAGATATCAATAAAGAGTTGCTGTTGCTATTAAAAATGTAGTTAACACCCACTAATTAACTCTCCCGTAAGCGGACATCCACCCTATTTTTCTTTGGTGTCGTTGGGAATAATTCCCAAGGAGGACAGCTCTACTAACGGACTCGTTTTCCAATTCCCAAGGGTATCCGCTTACCATACGAGAAAGTTTTCCGACTGTATTTCCCATTTCCGTGGTCATTCGAATTTCAAAATACCGGTTCTCATGTTTCGATATTTATCAAACTCACCGAGTTTATTTCGCACCAACTTATTCTCCAGACATATCCAGGTGTTATTTACATACGTGACAGTGGCAAATCTATGGGAACAGCGACACAAGTACTGGTCTTTGGAGTCATCTTTTGTGCACGATTCGTTACAGTAGTTACCACCAGTTCCAATTCTCCCTTGGTAACAAGCCGACGACGGAACAACAAACCAGTCAAACACCTTTTTCCAAGTTTGTGGGTCTCTAGGCTGCGAAATAAACCTGTTGATCTGGATAGATTCTGGGAAAGAGACATAGATGGAAGACAGAAAGACTACCATAGAGAACTTCGCTCGTAATTCCTTCATTTTCTTCAACCACTCTAGCATGCACGCCGCATGACTCCTTATTTACTTCGCTTTCGATTTTAGTCAGTAGTTTAATAATTACTACTATGAGTGATATCCACTAGGTGTCGCGTTACATGATATCTGCTATCCGAAGTCGTAATCTGCACTGAAATTTGAACTGGACTGGCCTGTGCTTGCCTGACACTAACGTCTTAGCCGGACTTAGGAAGAAAACATCCTATACATTAAAAAGATATTTCAAATAATCAAAATATCTGTAATGAAAACAATTTTAAGGCAGGGAATGAACCATATAGAGTGCTGCCATCTCTGTCATCCGGCGAGGAAAATAATATTCGGTTTTGCTGGAAATTAAAAACAAGGATCGGACTCGCAACTGAACTCCGAACTAGGCTGGATTGATACTGATACTCCAACTTTTTAGATGAAACTATAAAATTAAGAAAGGTGTAAAGAATGAAAAAAAGTTAAATTTTAACTAAGGTAGCCCCCTAACAGTCTCTCAGTCAGTGGACACCTGTAAATAATTATAAGCAGAGGTGTATAGCACAGTGGAGGTGGAAAAAAAAAAGGATAGACCCGCTATTTAGCTCGCCTCTATTAACTGAAAACCTATAACATATAAAACAAGAATACAAATTATTCAAGAAATTATAAACTGCAGTTTATAAACTCTTGCAACAAAGGATTCAAAAATCCTATTGTAGACTATGACACTACATGACTACGAAATTTACTGTTTCCGATAAATAAAAAAAAGAAATCATGAACCAGGATTTTTTAGGTTTGTGCCAATATGTGATATGGTATTTCATTCCAATAGAAATTGACCTGAACACAAGGAAAAGGTTAAACTTGTACTTGACTTCTGACGAATAAAGTTGACGGGAAAGCAGCTGAACATCCTGAATGAGGGCTCCCAAAAACCCAACATTTGTCCTCCAATTTTTTTCACAGAAGCATTACAGTGTCTTCACCATCGTGAAGAACAGTGAGGTCACTATAACTATTGCCGCAGTCAACTCTTGGTATCAAATTACAGAAAATGCCTATTCTAAAAATCAATAGCCAATCTTTTGCCCATGAGCTCCGCGAAAAGCAACGCTTTTGCACACAAGTGTGATACTGTTTCACCTTAACTGTGCTTCGCATCTTTCAAAACGTTCCTTTTTTGCGTGAAATTTCGCAATTAATTGCTGAAACCAAATTTAGATCGCGGCATCAAAGAGTGAGCATTAACCACACTCACGATGTTAGGCAACTCAAAACAATATCGAAGTTAGATTTTACGCTAAAGGGAGACTTATAGGTGCTTCATTAAAGTCAGCTCAGCTTACAAGGACTCTCGAAGGGTGGAGCAACATCAGTTGGCATTTTCCACATTTCAGCCTTTTTGTCCAGAGATGTTATCATCAATTCTCCTTTTTTTTTCCTCTAAACATTTCTTGTAACTTATCGAGTCACGTACAGTCACGTTGCGTATCAATTTGTCACTAGTTCATTGGTTTTGTACACCTATTGTTTAATTGACTGATATGTAGATTGACATGTGAACAATTTTATGTAATATCATGTGCGTTAGACTTTGATCAGATTTGTTCCTTTACGAAACGAAGACGATTGTAGCAGAGATGATAAAATGAATCACTTTGAACAGGACTCGATCTTATGTCAAATATAATCAGTATTTTGAAGTACTTTGAACAGAGGCCTATAATCAAATATTGAAGCAGTTTCCATGTGAGGCTCAGAGTTCAGTTTAAATTTCTTAGAAGGCGCAATAATCACTGCAAAATATCAAATAACTAAATAGTTACTTAACATATCATGATGGCGTATAGCCCTGCTTCTATCGTTGGACAAGGTCTACCTAATATTATATATGATAAGCTTGAATTATGCACGAATTTTGATTTTTTTTACTAAGGATCTATCGAGAGATAGACGCATTGATGATGTCACGTACCATAAAAACATTTTACATTTTTTCATGTAAAACAAATAGATTACATGTAGTCTGCAGAGCAGGCGTAATTTAGGGGACGAGTGCTCAGTATTTTCTTATCGAAAATTATAGTCGCCATCTTTGATTTTAATGGCAGTGGAAGGCTGGGGAGAGAAAGAAAATAAAAAATAAGGAGAAGGGTAGGGGGCGAACGGAGTTTTGCAAAATAACAATGTTCCCCGCCCCCTACCTCACATTGTCCACTCTAACTCCAAATCAAACATGACCGGTCGGATAAACGATCGCGAGCCTATAACGTTAGCTCGCACTAATAAGACATCTGCATTGCAGACTAGATTCCATATTGCAGTGGGTCTGTTAACCCTTGGACTCCGAAGATCTCATTAGTAATTCTCCTTACTATCTGCCATATAGTTCTTGTGATGTGTTGTTTTTCCTTGTGATGTTAGGTATTGGATCAATTAATAATCCCCTAACTGATATTTTTCTTTATTCTTATCACTTTTCTGCTTGATATTGTATTGATATTGTAAGGAGAAATTCTGTCTTGGTCACACATAGTAGTTAAAGGGTTAAGTAATAAATCATAGAAGACGTCAAAATGTGATAAGAACATCAGTGACAACTTTTTATTCCCAACACATTTTGACGTGCTCTATGATATATTACTGAACAGATGCACGAAAACATGGAAACTATTTGCTAATTCCGTTGTGACGGAAGTTCTGTCAGTTTAAAACTCTCTAAAAGAAGATACGCCCGCGATCAAGGAGGATAAAAAGTGTGCTCTGATCCTAATGTGGTGTAAGTCTATCTCGAAATTCTTCTGTTGTGTCGCTTGTGTAGAAGGGATATATGCATTATTTGGGAGTTAAATGCTGTAGTCTTGTAAAGAAAATGGAAAAAGGAGTCTTTTTTTGCCACTCATCTTGCACGTGCACAAAACGTTGCAAACAGGCCAGTGACTGGAAATTGTGTGATGTAAGCCTTTGTTGACTGGGCTCATGCTTCATAAGGATAAACTAAGTTTCGTTCCACTTCAAAATTCTGAGATCTGGCTCGCACCCCTCCCTTCAGCCTGGTATACACATCCTTGTTAATGTACCGGTAGAAATGAAGGTGTATGTAGGTACACGTAGCATACGTGCTATTATACTTAAATCCATGTGATATAAAGAGAGATCAGTGTTTTATTGTATAATTTTTTCTTTATAATAAGAATAATAATGAAGTCACTCTTCCCGCCTTGATTGATCCTAGTAAATTTACAGCTAAAGTCATTGCCACTGGTTTCCAACAGAAGAGTTTATCTCAAATTTTGGCAAATTTGGTAAATCTTTGGAGCAACAGTAGATTTCGATTCATTTAATTTGAAAAATCTGTGTCGAGTACAAAGTTTGGAACATTCATACTCGCACAGTATAACGGAGAGTTAAATAGAGAAAACACAGTGTAATTTGATTTATTAACATGTATAGTTCTCCATTGAATTTAAACAGCTCGAGAATATCTGAAAAAATATGCTACCTTTTTTTCATATAATAGCAACAAATGAAATCTTCGGACTAAAAATTCGTATTCTCATTTTTACGGTCATCCATCGCAAGGTAAGATAACAACTTCCTTGTAGGTACTTGAATTTCCCCGTTGAGGACATTTGTCAGTCACAATCGGCATTATTCCTGGTATTATTAAATTTCACGGAAAGAAAAAAAGATGCGTTTCCTCTTGATGATGTGACTAGACACATCCTGTGTATGAAATTCAGGCGTAAAGTTTTACCATCATTATTAAGTACACTACATGCAAAACGATTATTCTCAGCAAAATTACCACTTCGATTGCCAGAGGCAAAATTTAAGTAAACCCACAGCTCACTAATTAAACTTTAACATTCTATTACGCAAAATAGACCCTGTCTGGAAACGCGAGAGTGATCGATAATTTCAGTTCTACGCACAAAAAAAATTCTCCAAACATGTTATTTAATTCTACAGCACCACATGGAAGTAGAAGTATACCCAATAACGTTTTATCCACCAGTCGCTCGGGTGGAATGATTAGAGAAAAATGATTCTTGGAGTAACATGGTTTAAATTTTAAGCCTTGAAATTTGATCTTTCAATTTTTTTTTTGAATTATGCTCTCTTTGATAATATCCAGCATCATGATTAAAATCAAATGAGTTCAATTTTCTCGATTGTTTGCACAATGTCGACAGTTCACCTCACAAGTAATTGAAAAAATCATCCAGGGAGTACACAGCCGACGCAAAATACTTTTGAGACAAGCATATCTTGAAATAAACGACTAACACAATTTTGTAGGGAAATCTAACACTGACAACCTTTTCCGCCCTCTAAATGCCATCTAATGTCATTCGTCGAAAAGAGGACTAAAAATTTTGACTATTTGTAACCAAAATATCATATTAACATACAGTTCGATTAATTATATTCCATTTTCTTGTACACCTTGAACAAATAATTATGACAAGACATATTAGTCATATCTACAAAACCTGTAGCTTGCCAACACGCAAGTCTTTTCTTTCATCTTCAGTTATTGCTCTATTAATAAAACTTTGTCTAAAGTTTTGCTAGTGAACATCATCACATGATGATCCACAATTAGGGTTTTCTAACTTCTCGCCTACTAAAACTTTGCTTTTGCTTGAATCTAACGTGAATGAACCTACAGTATGTGAGAGCAACAGTAATTAATCATGTCTTTGTCACTTAGACACAAGTTCAGTAATAGTACTATTACTTTATCTTCACTGAAATCTAGGCAGAACGCGTCAGTAATTGTGCTAGAAATGAAGAGCTCCATTTCGCTGAGACATATGTAAGCGTATGTTGAGTACACCTCTAATGGACTTTATACGGCGTCGATTGATTTAAGCTTATCATAGCGATAAGAAAGGAATATTTTTGGAATATTCCGCCAGCGTTGTTTGGGAACACGTGGTGAATTGTGTACATTATTATCAGGAAGTTATCGCATACGTTAAGGAAGTGTCATGCGATGGCAGAACCTTGTATTGATATGATCTTAATCATGCAAAATATAAACAAACGTGAAAGCTTTCTTTATCCAAAATCCGGCTGCTATAAAGAATGGAAAGATTATATTCAGAAAATAGACCTCCAACATTGTCGTTTTAAAAGACTTTATTATTGCAAACTGTGAATTCTAAATCTAACTTTGGAAATTAGAATGGTTCTGTGTAAAGATGTTCTCTGCAGAAGTTTTTGAAGCGTGTCTTCGTAGTCACATCTCGACGAGCCGGAAATTTCGTCTTGTGCTTCAAAGAAAAATTGTTTGCAAGAGCTGTCAAAACCGCAATTTATTTTCAATTATAACTTCATTAAACATCATTCCGGTCATACGGAAATTACACAAGGATTTCTTTTGTTCTTGAGGCATTAAAAAACGCCTTCTTCACGGTCATCCATCTCATACCCGCTCGGTTATCAAGAAGAAACGCATTTGAATTATATTTCGATAAAGAACTCCGTTAACTTTAGTTATTCAAGATGAACTCAAAAGTAATCCTGGTTTTTGCTCTCTTTGTCCTCGCTGCGTCGTTCTTGCCAGAGAGTGAAGGATTCACAGCTGGAGGCGGAGGAAACATTCCTCATACACAGGGAAGACGAGCACTCGAAGTAGGTTTTTTAAATGAATAGTAGTGTTTGAAGCTTACATTGAGTATCGCTGGTTAATATGGATTGATTATTTCAGTATACGTTACAGTCGATTGTAAATTCTTTTTATTTATTATAAAATCGATAGCATTTCCTTTTGTTTTCGTTTATGGACACTATCGCTTCTGTAAGGAAAAGTGTGAGTCAGAAAAAGATTTTTCTCCTAGAGCAATTCCAATATGACTAAGCATGGTTAATAATGTAAATGTTGTAGATGGTGTTGAGTTTTATGTTTTTACAGAGACAACTTTGTGTTAATAAGAATGCTACCATCATCATTATCAAAGATCACAAGACGTTGATAAGTTTTTCCTATAGAAAAATGAGTTATTTTGAACACGAAACAATTTTATCTGACGTTTCCTAAATTTTTATTTATAATGACTTTTAGCTCCTTCATATAGCGAAATATTTTTTCAAGATGAAGAAGCCTAACGAGAAGAGATACCCAGATGGGAAACTGTTCTCTAGACATTTTCAACAGCGTTGATTTTGGATGAGAATTGGAGAATCGTCAACACCATTAGCGCCACTTAAAATAGAAGGTTTACCAAAATTTTGAAGGAAACGATCTGATTTGATGGGATTCGCAGATTTCAATCATTTTACACTTTTATTAGAATTTTATAGTAATGTAATCACTTATTAAAAGGGTCATTTAGAGAGAAATTCAATTTCAAATTATATTATATCACTGCGAATGAAAATTGGATGCTGTCCTACATTTACCAAACAGTCTGACTTTGTAACTGACGTCAAAAAAAACAGTGCTATTCATTGTCTTCACAAAAAAGACCGTTTTATTTATTCTAAGCTGGTAAAAGTTCATGAAGACTTAGTCCCGATGAATAATTCTCGAAGTCTAAAGGATGATTTTGACGACTTCATTTACGTTAATGATTCATTTTTTATTTATATGTGAAGATAATCTTTAACATGTATATGCTATTACCCTCAAGTCATTAGATTGAGCAGGAGAAAGTAAATTGGTTTAATTGAAACTCAAAAAGAAAACTTTACAAAAAATCAGCACCTAGGGGTGATGATAAGAACTCAAAAGGCTTTTAAGATTGGTTGACATCAGTTAGGAATGATTGAAAAAAAAAAAAAAAGAGACCTCACGAAGCTTTGTGTTGAAGTTTTTTTTTCGTTTAAGAAGATTAAATTCAGTTCTAATTTCGGTTTTTTCGATCCAGTTTTGGATGTGGGAAGATCAATGAAAGCACAGTTAGCGAGGAGGAGTGGACGTTTTCCCACTCATTTTATGTTCTACGCACATTAATATGCTTTTGACGGCGGTTCAATTAAATATTACAAAAGATCTCACGTATTGCCGCCTTTTTTTCAGCACCAACTGGCTGGAAGGGCTTTTTGTCAGACGGCCAGGGAGCACTGCAAGAAGGAGCTCATTTACAATGACAAGGAATGAACCACGCATCAGATGTGATTTGGTACCCTGCCAATTATGGAGTTGGGCCCGTTGTTCTTTGTTTTTAAAATCATCATTCTATATAGAAAGAATGTACTAAAGTTATTGACCAAAGTGATATGAAAATCTTGTTAGCAGAGTCTGAGAAAGCCAAAAATAAACTATTTTGAGTGCATCCTTTCTGTTCATCTTCGTTGTTTTAACCTACGAACTCATTGAGTGTCAGTAGGTACGAGGTAACAAATACAGTTTGTGCCCTTTTGGCGGATTGCTACAGCCCTAGATAAAGAGATAATTTTTAGAAGCCTGTGAGGGTTTTTTCTTTCATAGAAACAAAGGAAGGAAGACAAAGGCAGAACATAGAAAAAGCCAATTTTAATAATTTCTTATTCAATGTACCCGGCACCAAAGTGCAGAAAATTTTAGTTATGTAAAATTTCCTCCTTGTTCATAACGTCAAACCCTATATTGAGAAAATGCTGTAAAAACAATTGAATTGTGACCTCAAGGTCTCGTTATATGAACGGGCCATTTTCTGAGAAGCCAAAAATAACTGTAAGGGTGAAAAGTGGCTTCCTTCAAGTTACCACCCTGAGTGCCGAAAGAGAGAAGTTTTATCCAGCGAGAGCGAAAACAGGGAAAAGCTTTCCAAAACATACTCACACCCTGTCCTCCACTCCACCGAAACGATGAACACAATTTATTATGCATGCATGCAAAAAGCGTGGCAACTCGGATGCTTTTAATTCGGTTTAAATTTAGAGGCATTAAGAATCATTACGAAGCGGAACAGGTGTTGTCAACAGCTAAACGACGTGTTCCTCCCTCAGGCGTAAAGAACTATGTAAACACACGGATTTAACAATCGAAGCGGTTCATCGAGCTTCATACCGTCATTAACAACCGAACAAAGGTGAATCTCTGATTTCATTCAGACTTAGAATTTCGTTCTTTAGATCGATCTTTCAACAACGATTTATTACGGAATAATGAAATAATTAAGACAAGCTTGTTAAATCTAAACACTGCCTTCACGAGGGTTAATTTGTGTTTTTTTAGCGCATGTAGCTTAAGTTTAAATTGTCGAGCGTTAAAAAATTAACCGGCGTTAATAATTTTGAGAGCTGAAATCATTGTTTACCTTTTTTTTTAGTATGAGTGTACATCACCTTTGAATTTACTGGGCCAATATTTGCTTGCCGCTTTTAATTGCTCAACATAATTATTCCTCCTTCCCGGAGCAATATTTGCGTGTATACAACGCTTTGTGTTAGAGAGCAGTTTTGAATCAATTATTTAATCGGCTTGTTTAAATTTTGATTAAAGAATCTGAAATATAATAGTGTGTTTAACTGAAAAATGGTGAATGCCTACATAATCAAAACAACAACGTAATTCTTATCTGTCTCTCAAAGAGCAAAGGCCTCGCTACACCAAGAAATAAATTTTAGAATTGTATTTTCATAAAAACCAGAGACTGACGTAAACACCGTTGAAATGCCAGCGTCAGTAAGCGCGCAAGATGGGCCAAAAGCGAGTGGACTTAACCTGAAATGTGGACAAAACTTTACACGACCAACAGCGCAAAGCTTCTGTGCCTGCGTAGCTAGAGGTTTTGCGTGCGCTTTGAAGTGTCATACGGTGGAGTCGAGCGATTAAGTCGCGAGGGGTTTGAGACGAAGACTTTCTCATCACTCCGTTAAGCACAATGAAAAAAACCCTCAGTTACTTACGCTGTATTTTCCATGATTGCGGTTTATTTAGAGCCGAAAAAACAGATATAAACTATTGCACTCTTACGATATCACTATAGTAATTCTCTTTACTGTCTGCTATACAATTCTTATGATGTTAGTTTGGAGAATTTGGTATCGGATCAACTAATAATCCTCTAATTGATTTTTTCTTTATCGTTATCACTTTTCTGCTTGATGTTGTGTTGATTTCATAACGATAAATTTTGTCTTGATTATTCTCGGGAGTTATAACTAAATGGTCAATGACCTCTTATGACTAAGAGAGTGCCAAGTAGAAAAATATGGAGATCGCTCCAATTTCTGGTTTACTTTAACATGCCTAGTACACTAAAATCAGACACGCTGAGGCCAGATGCACTTGCACCAAGAGAGCAGAGAAGGGCGCCTGTGGTTGGCACGTTTATAAATCTACGATGAAATCTGGATTCGCTAAACTACCAGGTATGATGTATAATAATGTCGCGTTATTCGTAATCATTCTCATATTTTCTCACTGAGTCAAGGAGGAAATAAATCATGATCCAATACTAAATTAAAATTTCCTATTTAGTCTGGATTTTCGTCTTGCGTTACCCAAATACTGATGATCTACCGAATTCTTTAATTCGTTTCAGTTCCCTTGTGTAATTTCAAGGTCGTTTCCCTTTGACAGCATGCCAGCAATTTTGAAAGATTTCGTTTGGAGTTTATTTTACGGACTACGAGAATTTCTCAGAGCGCAGCTGGCGATCAGTTTCCATAGAGTTCTTGTTGAGACGCTTCTATCTTTGGTACTTTTAACTTTCGCCCTTAATTAGTTTACTGAAATGACTCACTTGCTACTGAGCCCTAAGCAAGCCACTCTTCGAACCGTTTTGAAGCAGCCTGTTCAGTTATACGAATGATTTTCCGATTCTTCTAGAATCCATAGTACAGACGGTTTCAATTTCTCAGTGCTCAGCCTCGATTTTTTCGATGCAATCAGTTTCCTTGGGTTTCCAGCCAAGGCGCCATTCACTTTAGCACTCCTTACTTCCGTCTTGAATTCAGTCAGTAGGCTGCTCAGATCGTTTTTTAGCATTATCTTTCCGCATTACAGCACCTCTGCGAAATGTGATTCCCTGGTAACAATTTGCACAGTTTCTTTCCTCTCTATCAGTTGGTTTTAAGGCGTTCAAGTCCACATCTTCTGTGCTGTCACCTGACTCGCCTCTGGTGACAAAAATATCAGAAATGCATTCTGGTTTATTTGGACATTCGAGGGCGCGATCAGATCCCTTTAAAGAATTTTGATCGTTGTTTTCCAAAGAATTTGGATTTACATGTAATTCCTCCAACGCGCTTGAAACTTGTTCTCTTAACGCTATGTTGCCCCTTAAATACATTTTAAGTTCCATCCAGGATTTATATTCTGGTTCATCTGGACATTCAAGGACATAATCGGATCTCTCCAAAGAATTTCGTTTTGAATGAACGCGGTCAGGTCGACCCAAAGAATTCGGGTTTGAGCTTATTAAATCCTCTAATGCGCTAGACCCTCGTCTTTTCAGCGGTGCGTTTTCCCTTAGGTAACGTTCCATCGAAGAGTTATAATTTGGTTTATTTGGAAATTCAACGAGTCGTCTCAAAGAATTTGGATTTGAGGTTAATTTCTCTAATACGCTAGGATCTCCTTTGTTCAGCGTTGCGTTGTCCCCTAGGTAACAATCCATCGAAGAACCGTTATTTGGTTCATTTGTATAATTAAGGGCAGGATCAGCTCTATCCAAAGAATTCGGATCTGAATGAACGCATTTGGGTCTTCTTAAAGAACTTGGATTTGAACTTAGTTCCCCCAATGCGCCAGAATCTTGTCTATTCGGCGCTTTCTTGCTCCTAAGATAACGTTCACCCATGAAACGGTACTCTGGTTCGCTTAGACTTCCGAGGGCAGAATCAAGTCTCTCCAGAGAGTTTGGATTTGATTGAATGCAAATGGTTCTTTTAAGAGAACTTTGTTGTGAGCTCAGTTCTTCCAATGCACCGAAACCCTGTCCAGTTAGCGCTACTTTGGCCCTTGAATAGTTTTCCATCATAGGACAGTAATCTGGTTCATCTGGACATTCAAGTGCGTATCCAAGTCTCTCCAAAGAGTTTGTATTTGAATGAACGAAAGAGATTCTCCCTAAACTGTTTGGATTTGACCTTAGTTCTTCCAATGCACTAAAACCTTGCTTGCTCAGCGCTACGTTTCCCTTAAGATAATTTTCCATCATAAGACAGTAGTCTGGTTCATCTGGGCTTTTAAGGGCACAATCAAGTCTCTCCAAAGAATTCAGAGATGAATGAACGCAAGCGGTTTTTCGTAAAGAATTTGGATTTGAGTTTAATTCCTCCAAAGCGCTTGGACCTCGTTCGCTCGGAACCACGTTGCCCCTAAGATAAAGTTCTCTCCAGGAACTGTACTCCGGTTCATCTGTACCTTTTAGGGCACAGTCAAGTCTTTCCAAAGAATTGGGAGTTGAATGAACGTAAGAATTTCTTCTTAAAGAATTTAGACTTGAGCCTAATTTCTCCAAAGCGCTAAAACCCTGTACATCCAGCACGTTGACATACTGAGACGGAATGTTTGACCTTCGAAAATAGCATTCCTCTAAATGTCCGTTGGTAGACAGACGACCTAAACTTGATTTTCTTGAAGAATTAGAATCGATACGCCTTATCGTGTTATCAAGTGTGAAAGGGAAAATTTTTACGTAATGATCAGCGACCTCAGATTCTTCAAAGAAGCGTTTGTCCAGGACCTTGTGCCTCTCCATGTAGTCACATCTAGGGCCATCATTAGAAGGAGTTGAGGAAGCGTCCTTAGGAAGTGTCTCTAACCGGTTCAAAATATCACCTCTGGGGGACACGAACACATAATGATCAGGCACTTTTGAGCTCTTAAAATAACGCCTATCCAAAACGTTGTATATTGAATCATTTTTGCCCGTGTCATGTGACGAACCGGACCGACGTGGATAGACTTCGTCTAAGGTACAGTAAATTGGTTCTTCTAATGAAATGGTACCACGCTGAGGAGGTTTCTCTGTATCATCGAGATAAGGTCCCTCTAGGACATAGTAAAATGGCTCTCTCTTGTTGCAGTGTGTACTGGCATCATGTCTATTTTTTTCTGAGGCATGGTCAAGAGGTTTCTCAGGTTTTTCTAAAACGTGATAAAAAGGTTCTGGGTGAAATTCAGCCGCGATTGTTGGAATGTCAAGCGGGGCGTACAAATGGCTGGTGCTGTCTTCTTCCTCAAGTGAACCGTTTACATGAGATTGATACAGGTCGGTTAGCCATGCTGGAACACTGTTTGTCGACGTCCGTTGCGCTGAAAATTAAAGATACAATTACGAGAGAGATCGAAGGAGCTTCCAAAAAATAGCGCTGTTCAGAAACTGAAAATGCCTTTCCTAACCCCTACCCCACACCCTCCCTGAACTAATTCAGATCAAAGCTCGACAGCAATCCTATAGGTTTACTCCTCATTTCAAACTGATCAAAGCATTATGGCCAATGAATGATCTCCAGTGAACGAAATATTTTTTGTTTTTCAGACTTACTTTGATTTTTAAATCCAAGCGTATTGTTGTTGCTGTTATCTTTATCTGATGGGTGTGACCTTTTCCTTCGAGGGCTCATCACTATTGTTTCCTGCGATATAATTTAGATTTTGAGATTAGAAAATGAAATTGAGAACCGGTGAAACTCTTCAATCCCTTAACCGACAAAGTACGTCACGAAATTTGCAGTGTGTGTGCCTACATGACAGTAAATCGAAAGTTAGAGAGCAACAGTCAAATCCATGGCACTTAGGATGGAAAATAAACCGGCCTTTCAACTTCAAATCAAGCTTGAATTCTCAAATTATAAGTCAATTCACGTTGGCACAGGACTTCTCAGGAGGTTTGACAGTAAAAGGTCCCTAACATCTCACCGTTGTCCTATCACTGACAGTCTCTATGGAGTTTGAGCGACGCCTTTCACTGTGGATGAAGAATTTCGGAATGAGTGCTATTTTAATGACAGAATGAAATGAGAAAAACAAAGCACTCGAACATCATTAAACAGTAGTATGGGTTATGGCTGGGTTATAATTACTTCGAGTAGTGGCGACGATAGGCAATGATGACAGCGATGACGGCAGCAAATACAAGTGCAGCGGCTATGCCAGTGATGAAAACTGAGGAAGATAAATCCTTGCTTCCGATAGAGGGTGGAGCCTGGGTACCAAAGAAGGAATAACAAAAGATTTAAAGCAACGTTTCACTGTGATCCATATTGAGAAGCCAAACTTTTCCTGGTGTTCATTTGTAATCCATGTTAATCTTCTCCATTCTGAGAAGTCATATCATAGCAGTTTCTGAATGCTTTTTCTTTTTTGTTTCACTTCGTTTAAATTTATTTCCGAGCTCATATGATGCAGTTAAAAGTAAATTTGTACTACACAAGAAGAGGCGTACAATATCTCAGTTTAACTATTTTTTGGGTTTTCTTCGTAAACGTATAAAGAGCTTGTCACCAATTGCAGTTTCACTTTCTGTATTGATTAGGTGTGAGTCTAAACCTACGTCACTTCATGTAGATCATCTACAACGAAGCGAAAATGATTAATTGTTCTAACTCTCTTACTTTGGAGGGGAAGGTTTTCGGTGCAGTATTGTTGTTATTTGGATCCACCTGGTCTAGTGTCCGTGCAGTTTCTGGATCTGTCACTGGAGCTGTAGACTCCGTGGGTACAATTTTGGCGACAGTCGGCTGAGTGTCTGGTACTGATGCTGATGCTGATATAGTTTTGATGGTCACTTGGGTACTGGGCCCCTCAAAGGCTGGTTCTGTTACAGATCTTTCTCGGGTATCAAGTGGCGCCGGTGCAATTTCGGACATGGTCGGCTGAGTTTCGGGGACTTCCGGAGAAGCTTCAGAGGCGATCGATTGTGAAAGAGATGGTGTCGGTGACATTGCAGAAACGTGTAAATTTGAATTGGAGGCTTGTGGGTGGATTTTAGAGATGGTCGGTTGTAGAGTCGAAGCCTTCAATGAACTTTCAGAGATAATTCTGTAGGTAGCGGACGCTGTTGGGAAGAGCGAAGTTCCGGAGATGCTAGATTGGACGGCGATAGTTGTCGGTGTAACTCCGTGAGAGATCTGTGTGGAAGCTGTAACTGTGGAAGAGAGGCTGTTTGACGAAGTAAGCGATGCTGGAGAAGATGTTAACGATGGCAAGCTGGAGGAACTTGTTATAACTGGTTTAATTACGGGACCTGTGAACAGAGATGTACTCGATTAGTTATTGATGGCTCAAACACCAGTATGTCTCTAACAATAGGATGAACATCGAAAGATCATAGGAACAATTTTACAGTCTTTTATAGCTTTTGCGCGCCTTGGATTTGCTTTGGTAGAGCCTGTAATTGCCAAGAAATGAAACGCATTTCTAAAAGCAAGTTTCCATGAAAGAACGTCCAAGATCGAAAAATTCCTCAGTCAGTGTCACTGTCAAGCCATCCGCGTTATGTAAGGAAACAGTAATGTAGTCTATGACTAGTCTTAAACTGGCTGACAGATTTTGCACAATAAGACTTGAAAGAGGAGACTCGTCCGGCGACTTTTTCCTTCTCATTTAACCTGAGTTTAGTGTTGAGTTTTAAAATTCTCCAGGACGCAAAAATACTTATTTACATACATGTGGTCTTTCCTTCCAGTTTGAACAACATACAGCTCCGTGTTCGTAGAAGTGAGCGTCCAATCTGCAAGGTACACTCCACCATGAAGTTCATGATCTTTCCTTGGAAAAGGTTGGTACCTGGCACATTTCTATTTACCTGCGTGAAAAAAGCTAAGTTTAATTTATTTGCATGCATTCAAAGTGTGTTTCATAAGTTTGAAAAGTAGATCTGGCATTTTGGACACGGGATCGCACCGGAATTTCCTTCGGGATCCTGGAAGGAATAACACCAATATTTTCGTCAGGATGGCACCATGATTTTCACCTGCATAGCACCGGGATTCTCGCTTACAACAAGGACGCCAGGATTATCCCGAGATTGCCGCCGAATGTGACAAAAATTAGTTTATTGTTTCATTCGCACAATATTTATTAGGCAGAAATATGGGATCGACTGACATATTTGGAGACAAAATTAAAGTTGAACTTCGTGATGATACCGCTTTTCAGCTGCCTTTCTTGGTTTTTCGGAGACCAGTTACGTATTTTAGGATTTGTTGCCTATGCTTGCAACAGACAGTCAAAGTTGAAAACGCCTCGGTTTTCGACCAGTAACACCGACTGGTTCAGTATAGTTTTATATGGTCACCGGGCCTCACAACTGAGATCCTCATGAACTTTCGTCACTGTTCGGATATCCGCGTCAGCACTGGCTCTTTTTTATCTTTTCCTTTTCAATTCCATAATTTCTATGAATACTATTTTGAAAATTATTATAGAAGTTCCTTGTTTGAATTGAGAACTGTTCTACGTTGTAGTTACATTGAAAAAAAAATCATGAAAAATTACTTTTTCCGCAACCGTGTCCGCTCGGATGCTCGAAAGTCTTCGTTGTGTAATAGAGGTCATTTTGGGAAGATTCTGCTACATCCTCCATCAATAACAGTTCTTCAGCAGATAAAATCTGCTGACATAATTAGGTTCATTGACGCAGAAATGAAGAGATGATTCTTTTTTCGGTCACAATACCGTCATAAAATTGTTTAAATAAAGCTTTGGATATTGTAGTATAAAAAAAACACAATATTTTCAACAAAATTCTCTAAAAACGCCGCAGGCACAACTGAATTCTTACTGATGCATCCGAAATGTCTTAGCCAGAGGCTTTGTTGCCATGATAGTTAGGGAACGCTGCATAGCAAATATGAAATTAGTGGTGGAGAAAGGAGCTTACCCTTAAATAGTAAGGATTCGCGGGTTTTTGCTGGCCAATTTTGAACAGTTTCGTTACGATATTGGAATATTGACTCAACCGGTGTCTTGTATCCCAACAATCCGCAAACCACGACATGGGAATATTCAATGAGCAGGTCCAAAGCGACCAGAATCCAAATACAGGCCGAAGAGTCATGTCTCTCCTTTCGCCAATTCCTATTGATGGTATTCGGCGGTCTCCACTCTCCCGGGTAAATGCTGCTGTATAACTGCATCCTAAAATTGATGAAAAAAGCTTATGAGAAATCTGTTCGAGTTTTTTTTAAGGTATAATTTAGTGGTTACATCGTTAAAGCCGTTCTATATCACCACACTCAATAGATTGTGCTTCACAAATAGCATCTTCCCATTGGAGTGATTCTTAGAGAATTTGCGTACCCCACTCACACTTTTCTTTTTCCAACACGCATGACAAAACGAACGCCTACATCTTTCTTTATTACTGACGAACTACCATCTCTCGTGTTCAAGTAGGTCTGTTACTGCGATTCTTAACAATTCAACTTATCAGAGAACTGAATTCATAGTCATGGAAAATTAGCCATAAGAGTTTCTAAAGATGATGTCTCGAGCGTTAGCCCTTTGTTCATGAAGTGCAGCACTATTTTTTTCTTGATGCATGCAAGAGCTTGATTATGTAATCATTTTCGAATTCAGAAGCACTCGTTGTAAAATTTGATATACGACGCGTGTATGGCTGAAATCGTTTATTGTCATATCTTCTCTAGTGTCATATCTGTAGTTTTATTTTCACTACTTTTAAGGATCTGTCTATCCAGTTGGTCAATTGCAGTGTGTAGAATTGTTTGTTTCATTTGGCAGGTACTTAATTTGCTCGTTTCTCTCTCCACTTTTATCATACTGACTAAGGGTATTTCGCAATGTCATAAAGCAGATTTTTCTACTTTAGAAACTTGGTTCAATATATCTGGAACTTGTACCTCCAGTTTCGCGGCTTTTTGCACTGGGGAAAATGGCACGATAGAAGCAAAAATGGTTCTCATAGATTAACACTAATGTTAATGCTAATGTACACTATTAATGTAAGAGGTTCGCTTGATGTAGCCACAATTATTCATTTGTGGATACTATTTGGTTTATATTCTTTCAGATTTAATATAAGAAAGACTGTACTTTGTTTTGTCGATTTCCAATGACAACGAAACCAACACTTGAACCCAATATGAAGTGATTTATGGCTATTGATCACCTTGATAAAGATTTATCCGCCACGCTGCTTGTCTACGTTAATTTATATTTTGCTTTCTAAAAAAAGGTGTTTACGAGTTTACACTGTTGCATAGTTGAAGTAAGTTCCTGGCGTAGGAGCCAAATAATACAGCACTAGAGAGTTAGAAATGTTAGAACATTTTTCAGCAATGAATTACGAGCTAAAAAGTTATCAATATAGTGTTAACCATAACCATCAAGAATGGCTCACAGATATTGACATGCAGTAAAACATGATATCGATCTTAGCATCGGACCAAATCGTTATTCCCTAAGAAAGCATGGGATGGTAGTTTTTAAGAGGCGAGATGATTTTTTTTAGGTGAAATTCCCATTGAACATAACTGATAATTACTCTTGTTTTTCTCGTAAAATTCGTCCTAGTCTCATCAAAGTGCTGAAAAAATCTAAATGATACAGAAGCAACTTTGTGAAATTTGGTTTCTCTTGTAACTAGAACTCTGAAATGTGCTGTATTTCTCTCCCGTTATAAATTGTATTGTGTTACAAAAAATTCAAAGTCAACTCGCCCTCGCTTGTCATAAATCAGAATGGCGCCAAATTTGTTACTTCCATCATCTGGGTTCCACGATTATTGTTCTCTAGGAATAGCGTGTTACTCCTCGTTCCTCGAAAAAATGAATTAAGTAGACACCTCATCTTGTCTTAAAAAGACAGCATTCTAAAGAAAATAATTTTTTCGTGCTGTATTGAGCCGCTCAACAGCTTTGAAATTTGTTTACAATTGAAATCCTTATGTCTGGAGAGATTTGTTTTCGTGACGCACTCTGCGGGTGCAAAAAGAGAATCCAGCAAATCTTAAAAAGCGCAACCTTTTTTTAAGATACTTACGTTGTACCAAAAATAAGTTCAAAAGTCACGGGAGTTTTGAAAAAATTTCTAAGCTCACGTCAATACAAAATTTTTGAGGCAAAGACAATTTGGAATTTGCAAGTAACCTTAGAAAAGCCGCAACAATCAAGCGCCTTACAGAAAAATACCTCACTTGATTTGAAGGACAGTTATTTGGCTTAAGTAATCGTCAATTTTTTAAAGAATGTTGTGGACCATGTTCTTAAACGAATTTTACAACTTTAGTCACACAGACATCGAGATATCAGTATGAAAAAGATGATTGTTAATTTTTGCTCCCTTGAAATCGCGTCCATAGGTTTTGTGATGATAAGGAAATTGAAAGCTAACCGACAAGGAATGGTATTGGGAAAAGAGTTTAAAGTGCCGCGTTGGTTTTGAGCGAAAAAGTTTTTGTTTTAGCAACATTGCAAAAAATCTGCGGGTTTTCAAAATGCCTTAAAATTGATGAAAGATTGATTGATGAGCCCAATTCCAGTCACCAAGTCTCCATTGTCGACCCTTCTTTTTCAGTAGTGCACAAAAAGTAGCTTCAGAGAAATATGTTTTTCGTCTTGTCACGAGCGAGGGACAAAGAAAAAATTCTGAGTCCCCATGACGCTATCGAAATTGCTGATCCTAGCAGTATGCAGGACGCGTGTCATATGAACTTCGTAATAGACCTCGCTCACCGTAGAGTCTGTGGCTCAGTGGTAGAGCATCGGAGCGCGGAATCCGAAGGTCTGGGGTTCGTTTCCTCATGGGAATTCATAATTTTTTTCTTTGCTCCACGCTCGTGACAAGACGAAAAACTTCTTTCTTTATTTCTTCACCGAGTTCAAAACTTACCATTTCTCTTATTCTAAAAAATTAGCTTTGTTTCTGAGTTCATTTATAAGAACCCAACAATTTTGTACCAGATAGTTTGACTGTATTTTCTTACCCCGATAGTAGTGGCTTCTGCCTTGTGCATTTGGGAGACAAGACCATTTTTTTTGGTGAAACATAAATGTAGCATTCCTGCCAGGACACAAACAGGAGCATTTTTTGCGTCTCCGGTTAAAAGCACCCAATGTTTTGCATCTGACGGCTGGATTTGGGCCTTTTGGATTACACACTGAAGATGGAATATCAAACGAGTCTCTGCCATTGCTTCGCCTCAAAATCTCGAAGCTTTGTTCCAATGTAAAAGTGACGAAACATTGGCATATCAGAGCCAAGCATAATGTCTTCATTTCTGAAGGTTGAAAACCTTTGTTCCGAATCAAACTGCTTCCTTTTTTTCCAAAGCGACTCCGTGCTCTCAGTCAAGTTCTATAATATAAATGATGTTGTTGTTAGGAAGTATAAACGCATATCGGTTTCAAGTTTGCATCAAACTTTTTTCATACACGAAATCGAGAACTCCCAGTCGAATTAAGCCTCGATAACCGTTCCCTTTGTGATGCTTGGGCAAAAATGTGCAAGTTCTACTTACCAATTACCCTGCGTTACTTCCCAATGTCAGACTCCCGGCTAATAGCAGACTTGTGGATGTAGAATTGCAAATCTGTTGAAGCGGAGACAAAATTCTTGAGAGTTTTCACAAGTCGACCTCTATCAAACAACTGATATTTTTCCTTTGCAAACACAAAGCTCGGCATTTGACTCTACCATCATTTAAATGACACCAAAAAGATCCATAATATCAACTGACAAGCAATAATGGTAATTAGTTACAATTTTCGTTTTTTTAGTGAAAAAAAAAACCAAATAATTTTTATGTGTTCTTAAGAAATTCCGTGGTCATGTTTTGAATAAATCTTTCAACAGCACTATAGCCACTAATTTTATATAGATATTAACAGACCTCTATAAGTTATAGTATCTCATTTTTATCAAAGACCATAAATTCTGATTGAATGATATTCTCACCCTCGATCTTATCTTGTTGATGGCTTTTGAACAATGAGGGATCTTTTAATTAACCAACGACAACGGCTCTTTTCTACGACTCACTTCTTAATTACAGGGATCAAATATTTCTAATTATAGTTGTTCCAAACTCGCAGGAATCACCATATTGCACCGCTAACTAATTATTCCTTTGTATCGCATCAACTTGTTCCTTCCGAAATACTTAAAATATCAAGTGTTTTCTTTTTGTCTTTTACTTTTTAGTTTTGTGCTGTGCGCATAAATGCTGTCCTAAATCTAAGAGAGAGATTTATCTTTATGATGAAGTCACCTGGCGTGGCTATATGTTCTTACGGGAACATTCAAGAGGACTTTTCTAGATTTTTTTATACACCGAATTAGGCAGGAGTAAGTTAAACTTTGCTATATTGTATGTAGTACAAACATTTCGCCATCATTTGTATAGAGGGGATGTATTTTTCAAGGTCATATTTCATGACCTTTTTGTATATACATGGTTTAAAAGAAGCGATTTTAAAACATTCTTTCCTTTATATTCAATTCCGGGACAAAATGAATGCTGGCGTAGCCTGCATCTTCTATTCAGAACTCATCGTTGTTATTTCTGTCAAGTTTTTTTTAACGAACGTTAATTGAGAAATCGAAGAATACTAATTACGTGATGCCAACTTTCACGGTGTGGATACAAGACCCTTGAAACTCGCCCGATGCGAGGGTCTTGTTTTCAAAGCAAACTTTGAAAATTTCACTGAGCTTCACTGACTGAGTTTCAGAAAAGTGTTTGTGAGCGCTAAGCCTTTTAAGGGATGTTCAAAGTAACAATCAACAAGGCATTGATCATCATTTAGGTTAGTCGCTCTTATTAATTAAAACACCGTATTTCATGTTTTTAGCTGAAGGCAAGGCTAAATCAACATACAGCCATCAAAATTAGCTGCGGTATAGTAATTTTGCGTACATTCACTAACTAACCTCCAGAGTCTGATAGACAAAACAAATTCGTCTAGTTTGGTAAATTGATTTAAATTGTTTTCCTCCAAACTACGACTTGAACGTCGTTTAAGCCATTAATTATATTTTAATTGAACGATGGAGTTCTCATATGATTTAATGCTGTCTCCATCAAGCTAGCGCATAATTATGATTTGCACATTTATTCATCTGTTTTTTCATTATTAACATTGTCAAAGTACTGGTTCCACTAAGGAAACCTCGCCATTTATCATTGATTCTTGCATTATGGAATAATGGTCATAACTCTCTACGCGGTAGATGTATTTCAGCTTCCGACCACAGACAGCTCAATTAGTAGACAAGAAAGACGTCTTCTGGTGTCCATTAATAGGCTCATTTCCACTGCCAAATATGTTTGTGGGTAATTGATTCTCAGTGGTAAAGTGTAATATCCGTAAATTTTAGTAGGTTGCACTCGGCATTCAAAAAGGCCTTCCAGATAACTGTTATGCACTACTATCATCTGAATTACAAGCTGCCCACCCAATTCCTGGGTCCCTCTCCTCACTAATAAAAGATAACTTAGAACGAAACCATGCTTGGGAGCAACGAACCCTCTAATATCTTCCCCATTTTAACTTGTTGATGCATATTCATTACTCGTCAAAATATAATTTATTATAAATACTATATGTGAACAACCATATTTATTGTGTGTTGTTTATATTTCCTTCACGAGACTCTACTTCAATAGTAGTGTAGATTGGCTCGTATGTACCTTCGGAATTATCTTTCACTTGAATGTCATAAAGCTGAGATTCTTCCACAGTGCTGTAAATGGGCTCATCTATAACTAAAGACAAAGGACCATAATAACTTCGTTCTTCTGCACTTTCAGCATACGGTTCTTCTAATACGTTGTACACAGATTGCACACCGTGAAGTTTGGCAGATCCCTCTAATTCATTATCAACTGTCTCTTTCATTGACATAAAACCATAGTTGACATTTCCTATAGCAACTTCTGAGTAAGGTTTCACCGACACATCGTCCACTGGTTGAAGATAATCATCAGGTCCCTCGACAGATCCCTGGAAAGGGACTGAGGATTGCACCTCCCTGACACTGTAGTCGCAATAGTCTATTCGAAAGGAACCATGTGACAAACTCTTGATATCAGTTGCATCGTAATAATTTGAAGCTCCTGAGGCATTATGGGCTGTTTTCTGGTTGCTCTTAGGTCCATAAAAGTTTCGCTCCTTTACAATGTCTACAGATTCGTACACATGGTTTTCACGAAAATCACCATCGGCAGCTGGTTGTGCAGCTCTGCACTGAATTAGCATTTGATAGACTGCTGTAAGATACGTTGAAAAAAATCATCACAAATAGAGGTATGAACTGCTTTGAACCGGTGACCGTTAGTATCTTAGCTCTTAAAGCTGTCTTAAGACAGTTAAAGATAATACAATTAACCTGATCCTCACGTAAGGCTCTCTAATGTTCTCATAATTCCCCCCTCCCCTTCATTGACCTTTATTGGCCGTCAATTTTTTTTGTCCTCCCTTCATACTCTGTTGTCGATGACTGATCCCTTGTCTGTTTCCCCTGAAAACCATGTGATCCTCCCACAAAAATCTCCCCCTCCCCTTCCAGCGGTAAATACCGACTGGTCCCCGATTGATCTTGTTGTTGTTATAGTTGACGTCATTCTTTTTTAAGGCGCGTTGAGTTCTTTTGTGTTTCTCTATTTTGATAATTGTGTCTAGTGCTAGTCGCTTCATGACAGAAAGTTTTTATTCCGGTCGCCATAATTGTTGTTAGTTAAGAAATCAGTTATTTACCTGGCTCTCTCAACTCGAGTTCTTTGTAAACGTTTTCATCATCAATTTCCGGCTCGTACGCTGAGCTTGTTTCACCGTTCTCTACAGCTGTTTCCTACAATTAATGTTGTAAGGACGAAACAAGGAAAAGCTTTTTAATACCTATGCAATCCGGCTAACTGTAAAAAAATTTCTGCAGAAGGAACTCGAAAGAAACTTGCCTTGTTTTCGACGGTTTTGTTTTTCACGCAGAGGTTCATGCTGTGGAAAAAATATTTTGGCAGTTGAAACAGTTATCTAGGATGAAATCACATTTCTTCTTCTAAGAATCGTAGATGAATCTTTCGCAAAAAGTAATATCCAACCAGTGTCGCAAATTTCGCTCACGGTGGCAACGCGCATGGACCCCTACTACTATGTCTTAACTCCCTCTGGAATGAGGGTTCTTGAAAAGGCTAGATCCGTTGAAGAATTGTTGCGCAAAAAGGTATAAACATTGCTGTGAAGCTAAAAAGCATAGTATGAAATTTCCAGCGGATATACTATCCGTCATGTAATTATAATTAACTTACCCTGAATAGAAACGCCGGTAAACCAATATGACGATAACGAAGACAATAACCAAAATTAAAGAACTAAGACCTGCGATGAGGGTAATGGATGATGAAATTTTATCGATTCTCTGCTCACGGCTAGGATTTGGATAGACAGTAGCCTGATGGGGAAATAGATAATAACTCTTGTCAAAGGAACGAATCGTCGTAGACGCATCTGAAACTTTCATACGTCCAAATTTGTATTCAAATTGACCAGTCTGAACTAAATCTGGCAACGTATTTCTCGTACTTTTAGCTTGCGGAGCGGGTCTCAAGAACTAACGCAAGGGCGAAGCTTATGATGGATTGTTACTCGTTCGCTTTTTCGCTCGTCTCTTCCGACCGAGATTCTGGTACACGCTAAATAACTTCATCCCCCTTTTTTTCTTAATTTCCTCGCTTATTTTGTGTTGTAAGTACCTCTTTTATTTTCTCATTCACGTAATTTTTTCAACGGGTAATGAACAAAAAGGGGAGCGAACAATTCATTTCGGACCATGGACAAAAGGTCAGTAAGATGATTCCTTTATTAATGCTTTTCATTTTTGGGGGGTACTGAAAGAAACAAAAAAACAAAAAGAACGAAAAGCAGCCGCGTAGCCAGGATTTTACAAGGGGGAGGGGTCAAACTGTGTCATACATCATAAGCTACGCCCTCGAAAAGGAAGTAGAATGTGGGATACGTTCGCTATATAAGCCCAAGGACTACTTGCAATTAGAGACAATGTCAAGTTGCTCACCTTTAGTATAGCTTTCGTGTCCTTTTTAGGTATTGCTGTTGTAGTTACTGTTGACTTTGACGTTGTGGTTGCTATAGTATTCGTTTTCAAAGTTTTAGCCTTTGCTGTTGACGTTGTTTTTGTGGCCGCTGTTTTTGAAGTGAAAATGTTTCGCAAAGACTTGGTTGAGACCATAGGTTGAGAGGTTGGTGTTGATAACGAACCTAAAAAGAGCACATATATTCAAGAATAGAAAGATATATTTGGTATATGTGAGTGAGTCTTGTGCGATTATCTTAGATTAACATTTTTGAGGTACGTTTAAATATGAGCTGATTTGACCTTCTAAATGTGGACTGATGTTGATCTTTAACAGATAATTACTGAGTCTCACAGCTTTATATTCAATAGTGATGTGAGCCTCAATAATCACCTATTTAATTTTATTTATTTTTAACTGAGCGAAAAAATTAAAACGGTAACAGCTTATAGCGAACCCACTCCAATATTTAAAATATTGCCGCAAGCAGACTGCGATATCAAAAATATTGCCGCAAGCACTGCTACAATATCAAAATATTGTAGTGCAGCCAGCCCACTGCAATATTGAGCGTTTTAGCTGGTTTAAGATTACCCACGACAATTTTCCTCCTAATAACAAGATCCCGCCTCCGTTTTCCTCAGAAACTTGGACTAGACTGAATTCATATACCTTCTCAGGCTGACATCGCCGATGTAATGCAGAGAGCGAACAATAGGATACTATGAGGGTTACTCATTATTTAGTACTATTGAACCCATCGCTAGGCAATTAATCGACTGAAGTTTAAAAGAAAGCTAAGAAATAGAGTTACTAGGTAAGAAATTGTACTTTCTTGGGCACTACACTGTATATGATATTTCTACGTAAGTAAAAGAAAAACGGAGCTTACAATTCACTTTGCCCTCGTACTTAAACAGCAGCATTAATGTGCTCAGGGGATTTTTTGCATTATCAGTGCACTGAATACCAAGCTTGACAATTCTTCCGTTCAATAAATCAGCATTCGATGAGCCACTGTTCACCTGTAGACAGACAAAGAAAGGCAATATAACAGATGGATTAAAATATGACTACCAGTAAAAAAAAGGGGATTTTTTTCAATATTTTCATGCGACGATACATTTTGCTTCGATCATCTTTCCATCGAAGGCCTACGTCGTTTTGATAACGAATAATATTGCGGCTTTCTTTCCCAATAAAGATTACCTTCCAGCAAAGGTTTGATACGTAAGGCCAGGGTTGCTTTATAATCTTAAAGGCGGATAGATTGATTTGAGAAAGATCAAAGGGTCTATTTCAATTTGATCTTATTTTATTTCATCAATCAAGTTCGTTTAGCGTATTTCTGGCCGCGAAAATACTACTCCAGATGTATTACTTAAAAACGCTGGTTCTGCCTACGATGATACAACACACAAATACGTAACCGCTAAATCAAGTGGTCATTTTTAATATTAACGCATTAAACCACAGGTAACCCAAGTTCGCACGATGACCCTCCGCATATACCTAATTACGTTTATGTCGCATGATAGGCCAAATATAAGGACTTTTATGGAAACCACTTGCTTCTCACCTTCAGAAAATAAGGAAAATTGTGATGGTATCTTCTCTCTATGGTAAACAGCTGCAGATCACCCATTAATGGAATCTCAGAACCGTTGCATGCAATATACCAAGATTTATATTTGTCCACACCGCAATTAAACCAAAACCACCACACTTTCACTCTTCTGAACTCACTATTCGTGAGCATGCGTAATGCATCGTCATGGCCCTCGTTCTCGAAATGGACGTTATTCTGTCGTGTGTATCCTACGAAAGAATAGATTAATGCGAGCATTTTTTACATTTGAGTTATTGAATACACAGATTAGCTGAGTGGCAATTTTATACCGAGAGAAGAAATACAGTTACGACGGGGTGTCAAGGCTTATGAAGACTGATAAACCAATCCTAACGTCCACAAATTTCGGAAAACCGGAATAAAGTCTTCATTACGCTGCAATTATTTCGTTGAAGAACATTTCCGGGGGCGTAATTATTGAAGCTCCTTATTCAGTATATTGTGGCAGTATTTTTTTTTTTACCATTGCAACAATATAAAATTTAAGAAATTTTAAAGGGTTTTGAGTTCTTGTTAAATAAGTTACGTTTGAGAGTCTTGGACAGGGAGACGGTCTGTTGATGTACTTCAGAATTGTTATCGATTAGGGGCAACTGTTACCCAATACTGTTAGTGGAATAGTTATGATAAATTGTTCCTATTTTTACGCTTTTTATGAACATCAGAGCAGATTTATATCACACAAAATGAAAAGACTGTCTACAATTTGAATTAGGGTGTGATGGTTCGTAGTCTAAGTAAATAAAGTAATATTAAGAGATTTTAAGAATCAAGAAGAATGAATGATAAGGCTGAAACAAAAGTATGAATTATATCGCTGACTACATAACTGTTATTTGAAACTTGTTTTTAGAGAAGTTACTAACTTTGAATATATTACCTATCTTAGTTAAGATTATCTCTACTGAAATAATCGAAAAAATCGTTTCGTTATGGGCTCACCTAGCAGTTTACGAACGTGAGAATTTTGTCGGCATCTCCACTCATCGTTTTCGAGTATTAATGTACCATTCTCGTTGGAGCATGAACAAGTAAATTGGTCGCCACCATGACTAATCTCGTCAGCATTGAATTTTGCACAATTCACAGTCGTGTTGTTCCCACCGTACTTAGTAGACAAGGATGGTTGAATTTTAAAGAAATCTCTGCCTTGCGTCCATCCATTCCTTCCTTTTGGTCTTACCCTGGTGATCTCGAGCTCCGCTGATTTTATAATGGTAATAAAGGAGGTCGCAATAATCACGATTTTCGTAATATTGAATAGTTTCATCTTTCTTCACTAATGAACACCGTTTGCTTGAAATCTTGAAATTAATCTGATCGTAAAAAGGTTCAACTTTTTTTCTTGTCGACGTCAGAAAATTCAACGTGACGTTTCCTTAGTCGCTTGACGTGTAACATTTCCTCTCATAAAGTTAATTTTTCCCCCTTACACTTCGACGTATGGTCTTGTTCAACTATAAATATCTACTAAATTGCTTCGGCTGAATCATAAAATCATGTCATAATGCGTGCAGAATTTACGTGTCTATTGAACCACGCTAAGTGCTCTCATCTTTGTTGACGTCTCAATTGTTTGTATATTGTTTCTCTGTTGGCTTTCGGCAATTGCTTTGTTGCTATTCCTCAAATAGACTTAAACCAAAGCAAAACTGAAAAGGTAATCGTTCCAATGAACTTTAAATAGGACTCATGAACATGCCTGTATTTGGCGTTAGCAAAACTATTCTTTTACCGCTAGTTGGTTCCTCACTGTTTTGTGGGAGATATATGTGTTAACCTTAAAGTAGCTTTAATATAGCTAAGTTGACCTAATTTGATTGGCTGAGACTAAGAAGAAACTATAGAACTAAGTTTAGCCTGTGTAAATCATCATAGTTAAATTCAAAACAAAAGTATGGGACTTTTGTTTTCGAATCATTACTTGAACTGACTATGATTTATCATAATTTGATTTAGAACAAACGCATCAGAAGTTTATTTACAATCATCACTGATACGAAAATAACTTGGCTATTAAGAAAGTTAAGGAAGTTAAGAACTGACTATTTTGGTGCCTCTGCAGCAATACAAATGCCGCCTTTTGAAAATTAGATAAAATGACTGAGAAATGATAAAACTAGAACAATCACAGAGTATATCGCAAAATCGTTTGTGGTTAGTCATCTTGGTAAATAAAACTTTGAAAGAGGTTTAAATATTTCTCCTTTGAAATCAAGGAATACTGGTAAACAAGTCGATAAAAGTAGTATTGGATAATTTTATTTAACTGATTATTATATATTACAAGAACTATATTATTATCAGGGCTGCGTCTCACCACGGGAAAATTTCTAACAAGCTACTTAATCTTTCTAATTTTCCTATCAGGTCGTTCTTAATACGTAACCAATTAACCATCTTTGGGATATGAACACTCTATTTTCCAAAATAATCATTTCAAATCTAACAGTGCATATTTTAAAATATTTAAGGAATTATTCTTTTTCAGTCTGACCTCCTTATTATTTCTAAGCCATTTCATGCACATAACTGGCCTGTTTATTTACACTCTCAGACTCTAGATTTTGCTCGAGTAAGAAACAAAAGTATAACTGGAAGCTACGTTCGACTCATAAAAATTATCTAACAGATAATTTTCTATGTACCGACTGCAATGATTTTTATAATTCCCTTTTCTTTAACTTGAATACTGGCATGGCATACGAAGCAAGGAGAGCTTTTTTTTCTAGAGCCCTGAATATCGCCTTCAACAAAAACGTTTTTAGGATGTATCCTCTTCAACAATATCGTATACTGGCTCGGTCGTAAATTTCAAGTCATCCGCTTTTTCTGAGATGTTTGGATTGGATTGTTCCAAGGTATGACGGATTGGTTCTTCTGTAGACACAGCACGAGGATGGAGAGGATCCTCTGCACCTTCAGGAGCCTCTAAAGTGTTATATACAGGGTCATTGTCATCATCACCAACAGGTTCCTCCAATGTGTTATAAACGGGCTCTTTAGGACCCGTGGTACGATATTGAATCGATTCCTCCACATCTTTAACATATGGTAACTCAAGAGTTCTTTGTGTAGGCAGGGTACCGTCGTCAAAGCAGTGGGCAGTCTCTTCCAAAGTGCTGTAGACTGGTTCGTCGGAAGACACAATGCCGTACTGGCCAGGTCTGTGAGAAACGTCACGGCGTGGTTCCTCAAAACTGTTGCGCACCGGTTGGGCAACATTGAGTTCCTCTATGAGACCATAAACAGCTTGATCTTTACTCATGGGGCAATTATCCTGGTCGTCTCTATGGCCATATACACTTGGTCCCTCAGAAATGTTCAAGGGAGCGTATATGTGTTCTCCATTAGAACTATCATTATTTTCTGTTTCACCGCTTAAATGTGCCTCTCTATCGTAAACAGGAGCCTGATAGCTTGATGCAAAAACAGCTAAAACAAAGTTTAAAAAATAAATTGGTCAACGCTTCCAGAAAGTGCAGAGATTGAAAATGAAACTATTTCATGATAATTTCCCGCAATCGATCCCGATTCGGCTGAATTCTTTAATTTTAGGGTCATTTTCCTCTTTCTCATCTATGTTTCGACTAATTTCTCTTCACCAACGATGACGCGCCAGATCACACCAATAATGACGAACCAGTGTACTTTTGACCTCGTTGCCTGACGAAGACTGGCAATATTGCGGTTGAAACATCGCGATCAACACAGTTGAGCTGATCCGCAGGGGATCAATATCAGTATCTGAGTAACTACCCACTTACCCCTTCCCCGAATCCAACATTAACCCTAACTTGTTATCAATTGACTGTTGCTGGGTTAGGGGAGGGGTAGGTGGGTAGTTGCCCAGATACTGATATTAATCCACAGTTGATAGCCTGTCTCTACATCGTGAGATAAACGATAAGCTTTTCACCACAACATTTTCAATTGGTTCATATGTCAGCGTGCGTTCATCGAGATATGAAGCACGCGGGAAGTTTGGAGAAAACGAAAGATGCGTAAATTCTAGCTTCTTGAGTGCTCTCCAAACTTCCCAAGTGCTTCATATCTCGATGAACGCACAGCTGACGTATTAACCGATTGTTTTATAACATTTTCAACCCGAAGGAAAATTTTTTTCTCGAGGGATTTGTTTGTTGACGTCATGAGCGTGCACAATAGGAATATGAAGCACGCTCGCGCAATCGAATTTGATTAGACAAATTTACTAGCTATGTTATAATTTCTCTTGTTTTAATCCAGTAGACAAGTATAATCACGAAACGCTTTTTTCCAAATTACAGATGTACAACGGTTGTTATATTCTTCATTCTTGATATTCAAAGCACTTTTCGATTACCGTATCAGTGATGATGCCTTCACTAACCTGGTTCCCTGTAAGCAAGTTCGGTTAAACCATTTTCATTATCAGTTCCATTTTCCGGATCTGCGCATGGTGTTTCTGTTTCCTGAAAAAAATTTGAATAAGGAGTAAAAAAATAGAAAATGTTCAACCAGAATAATGTCTTTTTCGGTACCTGTCTGTCGTGGCTCTCTCCCTTTGGATGAGGGTCCCTCCTATCAAAGACATAAATGACATAAAGAGAAAAATTTAAAACAAAAACTATTAATTTTACAGTTCATGAGACTTTCAACGATGACATTTTTTGTCTTTTATACCCTTTAAAATTTTGACTCACTTACTTTAGATATTGGCGTCGATAAACCAAGAGGGAGGAAATGACAAGGAGTACTAAAATGACAGTGGTAACACCAGCAATGAGGGGCGTGGAGGGTAGTTTTCCATCCGTGTTTGGGTTTAAGGGAATTGTTATAGAACCTTGAAAGAAAACATTCTGATAAGACTTGATAGTTTTGCGGTCATGGAATTTATCTCAGTGATACCAACAGCAAAATAAGGCATAATTCGTAACCCGAAAAAACCTTGAAATGTTCTGCTTTTATATATGAGGATATCGATGTCATATGCGACTCATACATCACTCTGAAAGAACCAAATGCAGTGTACAGTATTTGGTAGTGCAATAGAATTGGTTCTACAAAAACATCACCATATTCCAGTTGGTACGTGTGCCATGATTGGTCAACTTAGTGCGACGTATTTCCCTGTTCAGCCCACTAAATTCAAACGTGTATTTGAATTGGAATTTCCTCCCATGTATTTGAACCCAGAGATAAAACAAAAACCTTACTAGCCTCAATTTTTCGATCTGAACTGCAAGTTACGGAACCTCGTTTTTACCGCAACGGTTTATGGCCCACGCCCTTCACGCTTGGGTCATAAATCAGAGCGAAAAAAACTTTGTCTCATGGCTTACAGTACGGGTCTTAGACTCGGTTGATGATTATGAAATCAAAATCAGCAAATCTGTCAAAGAAAATAAAGACTTACATAAATACGGCGATCGCCATATTCATGTAGGTGGTTCAATGACGGCATTGAAAATGTCTTCATATGAGAAAGATTTATAACTAATTAAATTAATTCGAATTTTTTCTAAATTCGAGTGGGGCAACACCTTGACACAACATTACTCTATGTCACTGCGTATTTCATTTGACCTAAATACCCTCGGCAATTTCTTGTATAACTTTCATGGTAAAAACGTCAAGGAGATAAAAGATAACACAAACTCCGAATATTGTATGGAAGATTTTAAAAACTTACAATTTAAGGATCCTTCATATTTGAACAATAACACCCCGCTTCCATTCAAGCCTCTCCGTGTGTTAGTACAAATTATCTTGAGCTTGATTATTCGTCCTTTCAAGAAGTCTTTGCTTGTCGTTTCATTTACCTTAACGCAATTCAACGCAACATTATGGTTATGTTCTATCGCGCAGAGGAGATCTTAGAATGCACATGCTTCTAATTTCTTTTCCACGTTGGCTTATCTTTATTATGGCGTGAATGAAATCCAAAGTCGATTCTGTTTTTCACTTTCAACTTATTTCAAGCAATTTTCCAATCACGTATTGGAATTATTTTGGGATTGCATTGCTTTTGCTTCATTTTGCTGCTCTGTGATTGGTCTATAACACTCACGCTACCCTCTCAACCAATTAGATGCACAAGTAAAACAGAAAATCAAATTAGGGTCTCTCACGTTTTCCAGGGCTTCGGGAAAGTTTTTTGTTTCACTCTACATTCTCATTGGCTTCTTGTGAGTCTCCTTTAGTTTTAACTGTTAGTTTCGATTCGATTGGTGGAATGACTCTGAACAAAACCCATTGACCAAACAAGAACAAGACATGTTGTTCAGTTTACGGTAAGGACTACTATCATTGTCTGTTGTTCATGAGAAAACGATTGAAGCATGGGATATAATTAGCGGGGATATAATAATACCTTGATATAATAATTTTTATCTTTGGCTATTAATGCAAAAGGGCTTCTTTCAGGCAATACATCTTCGCCGTCACCACATTTAAAATACCTCGCGGACTCTTGGGCACAGCTGCGCTTGGTGCGATTCAGTTTTAATTTTCTTTCTTCGTTCATGTTCAACATGCGCAGTTCGTTTCTTTCATTCTCGTTCTTAAAACGGAAGAACGTATTTGTATCGCCTCCTGTTGACAGATGATCAAAGAGTGATTAAAGAGTTCGAAATCTCTGAGTTTACCACACAAAGGTAAGTGAAGTTAAGGAGGCTCATAGGGTTCTTTGATCGCGCGAGATCGGGGTGCGAACTTAGCAAAGCAAACATGGTAGATCGATACGATCGCACGATTGTTATCTGAATAGGTGTGTTAAAAACAGTTTAACATAATACAGTTTTTATGTGATGAAATCTAGGGTTTCCAGCACTGAACTCCACCCGTAATATTCATAGGCCTTCTACGGCTGAAAAAGAGGTCAACCGAAAAGAAAACACCGTGGGAAAGATTGCCAAAAGGCGATCGATTCGAAAGTTTACGCATGATCAGATATAGATCTTGGCGAAGTTCTATTCCATTACATAATGATTTGTGACAAAGGAAATTTAGATCTTTCAAGCAAGATTTTTATCGCGTTTCCATTAGTGGAATTTCCTAAGATTTGCTGGACCGTTAAACACATTTGTGCCATTCCTAGTGCCTGTTGATTAAAAAAATTCATAACACCAAATTTAAAATAGAGGAAGAAAACACAAAATTGCAAATAGCGTGAAAACTGCGTTTGTAATCCCTATTTTTTCGGCTTTTAGATGATTGGAAGGAAAAATTTCACAAATCGTGAAAATTTTGAGAGATCTCACCAAAGCAAATTTAAGAAATTCAAAGGCAAAGCCAAATTATCACTGGTGACTGCTCCCTTCTAGGAGCCTTAGTTTATCATTTTGATAATCATTACGACTTCAACAACTACGACCCGGGAACACTAGACACAACTAAGTGTCCTAGCGACCGATTAAAGATTCATCAATTAACAATTGGTTCATACGTCAGCGTGCGTTCATCGAGATATGAAGCACGCAGGAAGTTTGAAGAGCACGAAAGATGCGTACGAAAAACGCTCCACTGCTAGCTCTATGAGGAAGAATTTCATGATGGTGTAAGAAAATTCACGAATCAAAATGCGCATACTTTTTCTTGTAAAAGGTGCGATAAATTTTCCACTCATAGATCCACGAAAAGGAAATTTATCTGAGAATGTGAAAGTGCTATAACTTAAAGGGGAACTCATAATAACGTGATATGTGTGTATCTTTTTTACTCCGCCCTTCGATTAAAATCTTAAAATTGATAACATAAATCAACATTGCGAAGTGTTATTTTAGATGTTTAGATAGTAAAGTAAATAGAACGTGAAGCACGCTCTCGCAATCGAATTTGATTAGACAAATTTACTAGCTATGTTATAAAACAAGTTGACTGGCTTTATCGATCGCAAACTTGTTTTGATCGCATGAGCTAAACGCACGGTTGACTAAAAACGTGATGGCTTTTCCACAAACTGTGGGTTTCAAAGCTGAAGCAGCCGATGAAGGAGTTTGGTGTGCGTGCACTGTTGAAGAAGTAGACGATAATTACGTGATCGTTTCCTTTGACGGCTGGAATGCGGTGTGGAATTGCCGCGTCTGTGATCCACTAGAGATCAGGGATCGAACATTGCCAAATCGGAAAAGAAAGCGAAGAAACCTTTCCCTTCAGTGAACAATGTCTTTCCTTTAAGAAGACCTACTTTTATTTTTAAATATCACCCAAACTCATCTAAACAAAAAGCTCAAATTACGGTTCGCTTCAATTTCAGGCGTGAATTTGCAAAATCGTTCATGGACGAAATCGTTATGAATTTCAAAGATCAAAACCATTTTCTAAGCTACATCTGCTTTAACTTTATCCACTAAGCAAACAAAGCTTTCCAAATTACGTTCAAAACACTAGACGTAGTTCACCTCAAATTTCTCGATCTATCCTTGTTTCTCAGACCGCATTCAAACAGGTTTTACTACACAGCTTCCATCCAAGACTCCCAGTGAAACGTGACGTAAAATACGTCACGCGTTACTAGGTAACAGTGCTCATACATATGCACGAACCCCACTCAAGTGGGGTTCGCAGAATTACATACTTTGTCTGTGTTGAAGTCGTCATGATTTACTACAACAAATGATAGTTCGAACCTTGCTAATCGCCTTTTGATGGCTCTTAGTGACCTTAAAAAGCGAAAAAATTGAACAAAAACCCTATGGAGGTTCCTTAATTTACAAAAATTAAGGAAGGCCTTATAAAATAATTTTGATTTTTTGAGGTTAATTTTACTTATTCTTTATCGCGGTTAGGTTGTGGTACTTATTATTATTCATGATTTATGCATAGCGCATACCATGACGAATTCCCTTGCGGTAGTTATATTTCAGTGTTTACCTTTAAATTGAAAATGAAATTTTTCAGTTTTTTTAGTATACACAAACGTCGTGGTATTTTACTCACCTAATAAAGTACGAACTTTCTTGTTCTCTTGACAACCCCAAGTCTTCTTGTAAAAAATAAATGTCGAATAGTTTCGGGGGCATAAGCAGGAACAGCCATCGCCATAACTTGCCTCCTCAGCGTTGAATGTCTTACAATCGAACTTCTTACTACATAATGATGAAGGAATTTTGAACGAATCTCTCCCCTTCTTCCATCCTTTGTCAACAGGTCGTCTTTTCCTGGTAATTTCGAGATCCGCTGTCATTGTGAAGACTGTCTCCAAGATCGAAATAAACACTAGCAGCTGTAAATTAAACATCTTCGTATTTTTGATTTTTAAGTTCCAGGCGGTGTATTTCTACTTTCTGCAAGGAATAAGCCTAGAAGGCAGAAGAGTTATCTTGTTCACCAAACGACAGCGCGCTCGATCATTAAAAAAAAAGTTAAACAAAGTTATGCAGTGACAGTTGTTCACCCGACCGAAACCATTTTCTCAAGCTTAAGACTTTCTATAATTATTGCCTGATGTGCTTCCTGTAAGAGTACGAGAGTAAATACAGCTATTTCGTTTTCTTTAACCCTTTAACCCCTGAGGGTGACTAACATCTAATTTCTCCCTGAGGTATCACTGCTAAATCAAGCATTAGGCTTAAGAGAATTAAGGAAACGATCACAAACTTAAAATATCTTGATTTTTATCTTAATTCTCATCGTCGGTGCCAAAAGAAATGTATAAAGAACAGTGTGGAGAATACACATTCTGATGTAAAGGTATAAAGGCTGAAAGAACGAAAGCACAACTTTGTAACAGCCGTGGGCCAAAAAGCACGCTATGGCTTCAGTTACTGATGAATTTATTAATTTCAATTCCAGACCGTTAGATCTTCTTTGATTTACCACTGTCTAACATTGCGTTATTACCCAGTCTTGAATACTAAACTTTATATCGATGTTTTAACCAAGTTCATATAATCATATCAAACTCTTTCCCCAGTGCGACGAACATTTGTTTTTCTCGGTTCCAGGTATACGCAACCACTAACCCCACGTAATGCGCATGCTCTCCGTTACGAATTTTCAAAATGGCAAAATGGCGGACAGGTCAAAGAGGGAAATTAAAAAACACAAAGCGATTTTGCAATGAATTCTCAACATACACCCTCGTTAGAAAGGCGAATCCACGGAAGAAATATACAAAACTGTATGATATTGAGATCGATATGATATTAAATCGATACCGAGGGCCCGTTTAATTGCCTTCCGCCACGATTATTAGCTTTCTTGACAGCTTTCTGAAGGCAGAATACTTTCTTTCTGAAGACTTATAATATGCAGTTATTGATTATTACACCTCGTATACCTGATTGCTCAAACACTTTGTTTACGATTGTTGAAAGGACCGACTCATGGTTCTCTGTCTTCGTCTTGACATTGCTTTGAAATAGTATAGGCTAGTAAGCTGAAACGAAAAATTAATCAGGAAAGTTTACGGAAAATTCAGCAAACAAGCTTTAAAAAGGCATTTATTTAGACTTCATACTTCAACGAACTTCACAAATCTTACTTGTTTATCTTGTAAGTAAACGATGGCAGATTAATTCCCGAAGCGCTTTCTGAGTTTCCCGATCCCTCTCCTACTGCTTTCACGCTTACAAAACAGGAAAAATCAAAAGGAGGAAGATACGGCTGTTTTGAAACGCCATTTGACGAAGGTAAATCTGCTTTTTGTTCGACACTTTACATGTCAAAACAAAGGAAATTTGTTCTTCTTTTTGATTCTGGCGGTACATTTTTAATTTGCGCCTGTGTAAAAGAGATATCGCCCGAGACCCTTCGCTCGGTCGTGTTTTGATCAAAAACGCCTTGTTAATTTCACGCAACCGCTCGGAGAAAAGGTAAAAATGACGAGGGAAAAACTTTACCTTCAAGTTAGAAAATTAGCGAAATAGAAAGCCATAATATTATAGTTTAATATTTCAGAGGTACATTGAGTGCTTTTTCCGTAGAGAATCCGCACGATGGTAAAACATTCGAAAATTACACTCGATTTGAGTGGGGTGTTGAAGTGGGCGTGGTCACTACATTCATGTTAAGACTATTTGTACCCCATGAGTTTGATATGTATCCTAAAATAAAATGTTATCAAATGACAAGTACCTATTTATTGCATAATGTTCCTATGCCTCGATCAGCTGCATTCGGAGTGATCAAAATCTAATGATTTTTACTCACGTGATATCCAAGGGATTGAAGTCTGATGTTATGAGAGTGGCATAGCAGTTTGTTTTAATATATGAATGTTGTGGAGAAATCCCGCCAGAGCGTTTAGGGAAACGTCTGAGAAATCAGTATATAAAATTTCCTTAGGGCTAGGGCTCTCTATCAAGTGAGACTCAACCAGCTAAATCAATCTGTTTCAAGATTGGAATAGCGCTGTTCATTCTTCAGTTTACGGAAAAAGCACTAAATTACGCTCTATGGGCATAAGTTACATTTGGTTTTCTAGGACATTGTTATGCTACTGTGATCTGAGATTTTAACCAAGTCCTTGCATCGATAGGGAGCGGCAAAGTAGTAAATAAAGAGTATTTTTCATCACATATCTTTTCCACGGTACCTCTACTTCACGTTTCCGGATTTTCCGTACGTGAAATGCAACATGTATAAAAATAGGCACCTTAAGCTTTTTGCCATTAAAAATGTAAGTTCGGCAAAGAGACAACGAGCAATATTACCCCTTTAGTTATCTTAGTTGACATTGAACTCGAGGGCCATTTCCTTTTGCTTTGGTTCCAATAGAAATGCCGTCTCCATACTGATCTAAACTGTAACAGTTATCTAGATGTGTTGTTTAGCTTAAACGTACCTACAACGAACGTTGGTCCAATATCGGGCCTCTTTTTAATTCTAGCATCTTTTCTAACCAGCGTCAACAAGCTGATTTTTGTTTATATTTTATGATCAAGTCACTCCTCTTTCCTTTCCTCCGACTATGACATTCTTACTGCTTTTTATTCAAATACGTGGCCGTTATGAGAGGCAAAAGGTCTTTCTTTTTTCCTGGAGCCAAGTTTGTTACCATCCACCAAAGCGTTTCAGATCGGATCTCTTCAAGAATATCGTAAACTAGTTCCATGCTAATGTTCAAGCCATCCGCGTTAACTGAAATATTTAGTTTAGCTTATTTTACGTTATGATGGATTGGATCTACTATAAACATGGCACTCCAATGGCGAGGGCCTTATGCATCTTCAGGACCCTCCAAAACGTCGTACACTGGGTCACCATCATTTTCAGTGACCGGTGCCTCTAACGTGTTGTAAACAGGCTCTGTTAAGCCCGTTGCGGCATAAAAACTTGTTTCTTTTTGCTCTGAAACGTTGCTCATAGGATAATTGCCTTTGTCAATGTAGTTGTAATGAAGCCCGTCTGTAGAGTCTGTCTGTGATACCAAAGTAGGCGGGGCTTTGAGGCCCATCGAGACATGACCCTTCCAAAACGTTGTACACTGGTTCAGAGCCATTTTCACTATTCTCGACAGGTCCTTCTAAAGGGTCCATGACTAGTTCCTCCATGAGATCATAAACACGATGATGTACGCTTATGGGGCCATTTATTTTAGGCCTCGTATCCTGAATTACTATTTCCTGGTTGTTTCTGTGACCATAGATGTTTTCTCCTTCAGAAATATTCAAAGGAGCGTAGATATGTCCTTCGCCATGATCATTTTTTCATTTTTTCGAACTGATTCATAAACAGCTACAAGTATAAAACATTTAAGATATAATTAGTCAAAATAATTCATCTATTCTATGGTGCATGCAGAATAAACATTGCTGTTATGGATTTTTCACTCGATCAGTCATATTCTTGTAGGATTCTTTAATCCAAAAGCCTTTTCTCGAAGCATCTATGGATGACTCTCTATCTATTCGAGTACCAAAAGTAGTCATGAAAGGCTTTGATAAAAAATAGAAGTGGTTTCTGCAATATTCACAGATTGAGACAGACTTAATTGGCGTTGAAAGGCGACTTTTACTCACCTGGTTCTCTTAACGTAAGCGCTTTGTAATGATCCTCGTTACCCAGTGTATCCAGTGTAATTCCGTCCAGACTACTCATCGCTGTTTTCTACGACAACAAAAAATTAAAGTTGATTGAAAAGCGATAAGAGGCCAAATCAAAGTCTTTAATTTATACGTAACCTTTTCTCTTTGCTTTTTTACCAGAGTTGGAGTTATCCCTGTCAAAAGAATTGATGGCATCTTTAAAAAATTGCTTCAGTGGCCAATGATCTTCAGAGTAAGTCCCGTTTCCAGGGCGTTCCCTGGAAAATTGGGAAAGGGTGCCCTGGGAACGAGGTCGATTTGGACGTGCGCTAGAAAACCTGGCCACGGTGTATCAACTCGAGGCTCACTCAGTGGTAAACCTCTAAAGAGGTGAACTTACTAACCCTGAATGTCGGCGTCGATAGACCAGGACGGCAATAATGATAAGAATAACCAAGATGGCGACGGTAACACCTGCGATGAGGGCCACGGGGGATGATTTTCCTTCTGTTCCTCGTTCGTGGCCAGGATCGCGACGGGCGACGACAGGATCCTATAGACGATAAGCACAATATGTTACTATTTCTCTCCTGTGAAGTTTTAGTCGCACGTACAAAAGAAAGCCTACTGTCTATCGTGTTTAATGATTAAATGCACTCTTACTTTAGATGGTGAATCTGATGTCGTCGATCGCTTTTGTGTCCTTAACAGATCAGTAACCACAGATGAGGTAAAAGGAATAGTCGAAGGAACTTGGGAAGTCGATGATGAACCTTGGGTGACCTTGGTACCTTTAAGATAATTATGTCAAGGTCATGGATATTTTCAAGCGTGGCAGCGATATGACATCATTGTATTTACCACTGAGACGCTTTTAATAAGAGACGGCCTGATTGGTTTCTCATCAAAGCAATGTGAAGTAGTAAAGAAATATCCGAATCAGATAATGACTCCACTGCTTGCAAACTAAGCTATGGCAAGTTCCAACACATTGAGATAAACCTTGGTCCTTTTGGGAGAAAATTTATTTTCTTTCAAGTGACGAACAACGTTAGGACATGAATATTTGTGAATAGAAGAAACACCTACATTCAATAATAATCTATGAAATACACAGTTTTTACCCGGCCTTAACACATTCTGAAATTTATGGTATAGGTTTTCGAGTTAAAGGTACAGTAATACTTTTAGAAAATAAAAGAGGATAAAAAAAAACTTTTAAAGTACGGGAGATACAGAATATCAACTTAAACTTACAATTGAAAGATCCTTCATACTTAAACAGCAAAACGAAGCTCTTGGTTTTCTTTCCATTATTGCAATTTATTGTCAGCTTAATGATTCTACCCGTTATGGAATCAAAGCTCGTTGTGTTAATCACCTAGACGGAACATAAAGATGCGGTTAATAATATCATTATTTTATACCCTTTACGGAATCTATGCTTGCTGTGTCCATCGCCTTCACTCAGCATAGAGGTTCAGTCAATAATTATCAATATTTACATGAGATACGTCGTATTCAAATATTTTTGCAAAGTTCTTCGTTCATTTTAATTTTAAGTTTCTTTCATTTTCTCGGAGTCTATTCTTATCGCTCATCTGTGCTCTCTGATTGGTTCCGTAAATTAAACTCGCTTCAATCACCAAAGCAATCAGATGCAAAAGTGAAACAAATCGTATGTTGGTTGCCCTTGGTTTTGTTGCCGCACAATAAGTGGGCTCCTTTTTTTAGTTGTTTATTCTAAACGGTCTTTCTGTTCTCTTTCATCTTTTCTTTTACCGGTTCTCAACCAGAAAACTCTTAAAAAAATAATGCGGCATGGAAAGGGTTTTTTCCCAATCAACCCTACGAAATCTGAGGAAGTATAATACTTTTTTAATTAGGGGACATGTTATTTGCATAAACAAAAGTGAGTCAGACGTAAGTGCCGATGTCGTTTGACCTTCTATCGTGACAGAAGTGCTTGGTCATCGAATTATTTTAAGATTCTGTGGTTCATAGGGTATGAAAGACCGCTGGATGATTTATAAATCTTTGTGATGAAACAATACGTCAATTTTTCTTTTACCTCAAGAAGTAAGTAATCATTATCTTTCAGACTCAGTTTGAATGTGGTGCCCGCGCGAATGACTTTTGGCGTGCCATCACATCTGAAATAGCTAAACGACTGTGCTTTCAAAGAACAATTATGACCGCTGTCCTCATCTAACTTTACTTTCCCATTGTGGCCGACTTTCAACATATGCAGTTTTTTCGTGCTATTATTGTTTTTTAGGTAGACTGGTGTCTTTTTGTTCCCACCTAAAAACAAAGTCACCGATAAGTAAGAACTAGTTAAGGATACAGAGAGAGAGATAATAAGTAGGCTCGTAAAACCCCCTGGGGGACAAGAGGTGTCGCAAGATTGTGGCTTTAAGAGAAATGAAAAGCGTTAACCAGAATGAACAGTCATCGAAGGGGATCTAAATCTTAATATCACATAAATAATCATTCAACTAATAAAATTATTGAATTACTCAACAGTATTTAAATTACTCAGATATAGATCTTGACGAAGTCCTATTCCATTACGTAATGATTTGCGACTAAGGAAATAGAGATATTTCGAGCAAGATTTATTGTGTTTCCTTTGATGGAATGTTCTAAAATTTGCTGGACCGTTAGACATATTTGTGCCCTTCCTAGTGCCTGTTGAAAAAATTTGAGACAGAGGAAGCAAACAAAAGGATTGCAAAACTGAGGAAACTGCCTTTGTAACCCCTATTTTTTTCGGATTTTAAATCGAAAGATTTCATTTAAGTAAATTGATGAAAATCAAAGGCAAAGCCAAATTGTCAATGGCGACTGTTTCCTCTCGTAGAGCTTTAGTTTAATAACGAAAATCATTTTGTCAATGTTTACTACAACAAACGATAGTCCGAACCTTGTTTATCGCCTTTTGATAGCTTTTAGTGACCTTAAAAAGCGAAAACAAAAATCTCCTAGAAAAACATTACGCATGCGCGCGCACCAACATTGAACCAAAACCCAATGCAGCCTCCTTTATTAACAAAAGTTAAGGATGGCCGCATTAAATAAGTTTGATTTCTCGAAGTTAATTTCACTTACGCTTTATCGCAGCTAGGTTGTAATGATTATTATTCCGCATAATTTATGCAAAACGCATACCGAAGTTAAACTTCAGTGTTTACCTTGAAATTAAAAATGAAATTTTTAAGTTTTTTCAGTATGTTATTCCCCAGAAAATGTGACCTTTTTTACTCACCTAATAAAGTGCGAACGTTCTTGTTCTTTTGGCAACCCCAAGTCTTGTTGTATAAAATGAATGTCGAAGACTTTTTGGGGCATATGCAGGAACAGTCACCGCTATTACTTTTTTCCTCAGCGTTGAGTCTCGTGCAATTGAATCCCTTATCACATGACGATGAAAGAATTTTGATTGAATCTCCCTTCAACCATCCATTTCTTGTAATTTCGAGATCCGCTGCCATTGTAGAGACTTTCTCCCAGATCGAAATAACCACCAACAGCTGTAAATTAAGCATATTCCCTTTTTTTTTTTTTTTTTATTTTTAATTTCCAGGCGGTGTATTTCTACTGTCTGCGGGAAAGGAACCTACAAGGTAGAAGAGTTAACTCGTTCACCAAACGACAGCGCGCTCGATCATTAAAAAAAAAAAACTTAAACAAAGTTATGCATCGAAAGTTCTTCACCCGACCGATACCATTTTCTCAAGCTTAAGACTTTCTATAATTATTGGCTGATGTGCTTCCTGTCAGGGTGCGAGAGTAAATACAGCTATTTCGTTTTCTTTAACCCTTTAACCCTGAGGATGACTAGCATCTAATTTCTCCCTAAGGTATCACTGCTGCATCAAGCATTGGGCTTAAGAGAATTAAGGAAACGATCACAAACTTAAAATATCTTGATTTTCATCTTAATTCTCATCGTTGGTACCAAAAGAAATGTATAAAGAACAGTGTGGAGAATACACATTCTGATGTAAAGGTATAAAGGCTGAAAGAACGAAAGCACAACTTTCTAACAGCCGTGGGCCAAAAAGCACGCTATGGCTTCAGTTACTGATGAATTTATTGTTTTCAATTCCAGACTGTTAGATCTTCTTTGATTTACCACTGTCTAATATTTTGTTATTACCCAGTCTTGAATACTTAACTTTATATCGATGTTTTAACCAAGTTCATATAATTTATCCTAAAATAAAATGTTATCAAATGACAAGTACCTATTTATTACATAATGTTCCTATGCCTCGATCAGCTGCATTCGGAGTGATCAAAACCTAATGATTTTTACTCACGTGATATCCAAAGGATTGAAGTCTGATGTTATGAGAGTGGCATAGCAGTTTGTTTTAATATATGAATGTTGTGGGGAAATCCCGCCAGAGCGTTTAGAGAAACGTCTGAGAAATCAGTATATAAAATTTCCTTAGGGCTAGGGCTCTCTATCAAGTGAGACTCAACCAATTAAATCAATCTGTTTCAAGATTGGAATAGCGCTGTTCATTCTTCAGTTTACAGAAAAAGCACTAAATTACGCTCTATGGGCATAAGTTACATTTGGTTTTCTAGGACATTTTTATGCTACTGTGATCTGAGATTTTAACCAAGTCCTTGCATCGATAGGGAGCGGCAAAGTAGTAAATAAAGAGTATTTTTCATCACATATCTTTTCCACGGTACCTCTACTTCACGTTTCCGGATTTTCCATACGTGAAATGCAACATGTATAAAAATAGGCACCTTAAGCTTTTTGCCATTAAAAATGTAAGTTCGGCAAAGAGACAACGAGCAATATTACCCCTTTAGTTATCTTAGTTGACATTGAATTAGAGGGCCATTTCCTTTTGCTTTGGTTCCAATAGAAATGCCGTCTCCATAAATCTAAACTGTAACAGTAATCTAGATGTGTTGTTTAGCTTAAACGTACCTACAACGAACGTTGGTCCAATATCGGGCCTCTTTTTAATTCTAGCATCTTTTCTAACCAGCGTCAACAAGCTAATTTTTGTTTATATTTTATGATCAAGTCACTCCTCTTTCCTTTCCTCACAGTATGATCAAGTAAGCAAGTAACATAGGTATTACTGGTAGCTACGTTCGACTCATAGATGTCCACGAAATCAGATAGGATCCTATACTCCGACTATGACATTCTTACTGCTTTTTATTCAAATACGTGGCCGTAATGAGAGGCAAAAGGTCTTTCTTTTTTCCTGGAGCCAAGTTTGTTACCATCCACCAAAGCGTTTCAGATCGGATCTCTTCAAGAATATCATAAACTAGTTCCATGCTAATGTTGAAGCCATCCGCGTTAACTGAAATATTTAGTTTAGCTTATTTTACGTTATGATGGATTGGATCTACTACAAACATGACACTCCAATGGCGAGGGCCTTATGCATCTTCAGGAGCCTCCAAAACGTCGTACACTGGGTCACCGTCATTTTCAGTGACCGGTGCCTCTAACGTGTTGTAAACAGGCTCTGTTAAGCCCGTTGCGGCATAAAAACTTGTTTCTTTTTGCTCTGAAACGTTGCTCATAGGATAATTGCCTTTGTCAATGTAGTTGTAATGTAGCCCGTCTGTAGAGTCTGACGTGATACCAAAGTAGGCGGGGCTTTGAGGCCCATCGAGACATGACCCCTCCAAAACGTTGTACACTGGTTCAGAGCCATTTTCACTATTCTCGACAGGTCCTTTTAAAGGGTCCATGACTAGTTCCTCCATGAGATCATAAACACGATGATGTACGCTTATGGGGCCATTTATTTTAGGCATCGTATCCTGAATTATTATTTCCTGGTTGTTTCTGTGACCATAGATGTTTTCTCCTTCAGAAATATTCAAAGGAGCGTAGATATGTCCTTCGTTATGATCACTTTTTCTGGAATTCCCTATGTGTGCTTCTCCATCGCGAACTGATTCATAAACAGCTGCAAGTATAAAACATTTAAGATATAATTAGTCAAAATAATTCATCTATTTTATGGTGTATGCAGAATAAGCATTGCTGTTACGGATTTTTTCACTCGATCGGTCACATTCTTATAGGATTCTTTTATCCAAAAGCCTTTTCTCGAAACATTTATAGATGACTCTCTATCTATTCGAGTACCAAGAATAATCATGAAACGCTTTGATAAAAAATAGAAGTGGTTGCTGCAGTATTCACAGATTGAGACAGACTTAATTGGCGATGAAAGATGATTTTTACTCACCTGAATCTCTTAACGTAAGCGCTTTGCAATGATCCTCGTCATCCAGTGTATCCAGAGTAATTCCGTCCAGACTTCTCATCGTTGTTTTCTAAGACAACAAAAAACTAAAGTTGATTGAAAAACAGTAAGAGGCCAAACCGAAGTCTTTAATTTATACGTACCCTTTTCTCTTCGCTTTCTTTACCAGAGTTGGAGTTATCCCTGTCAAAAGAATTAATGGCATCCTTAAAAAATTGCATCAGTAGCCAATAATCTTCAAAGTAAGCCCAGTTTCCAGGGCGTTCCCTGGAAAATTGGGAAAGGGTGCCCTGGGAACGAGGTCGATTTGGACGTGCGCTAGAAAACCTGGCCACGGTATATCAACTCGAGGCTCACTCAGTGGTAAACCTCTAAAAAGGTGAACCTACTAACCCTGAATGTCGGCGTCGATAGACCAGGACGACAATAATGGTAAGAATAACCAAGATGGCGACGGTAACACCTGCGATGAGGGCCACGGGGGATGATTTTCCTTCTGTTCCTCGTTCGTGGCCAGGATCGCGACGGGCGACGACAGGATCCTATAGACGATAGCACAAAATGTTACTGTTTCTCTCCTGTGAAGTTTTAGTCGCACGTACAAAAGAAAGCCTACTGTCTATCGTGTTTAATGATCAAATACACTCTTACTTTAAATGGTGAATCTGATGTCGTCGGTCGCTTTGCTGATGTAGTTGGGGAGGCTTTCCCAACAACGATGGTTGTTGGCAGTGTAGACGATGGTGTCCTTGACAGATCAGTAACCACAGATGAGGTAAAAGGAATAGTCGAAGGAACTTGGGAAGTCGATGATGAACCTTGGGCGACAGTTGAAGTTGCATGTTGTCTTGGAGATGAAAGAGAAGATGCACCTAAAGGTTTTGTTGTGGCTATGGGCTGTAACGTTGATGTTGATATGGTACCTTTAAGATAAATATGTTAAGGTCATGGATATTTTCAAGCGTGGAAGCGATATGACATCATTGTATTTACCACAAAGACGCTTTTAATAGGAGAAGGCCTTATTGGTTTCTCATCAAAGTTATGCGAAGTGGTAAAGAAATATTCGAATCAGATAATGACTCCACTGCTTGTAAATTAAGCTAAGGCAAGTTCCAACACACTGAGATAAACCTTGGTCCTTTTGGGAGAAAATTTATTTTCTTTCAAGTGACGAAGAACGTTAGGACATGAATATTTGTGAATAGAATAAAAAAACACCTACATTCAATACTAATCTATATAATACGCAGTTTTTACCTGGCCATAGCACATTCTGAAATTTCTGGTATAGGTTTTCGAGTTAAAGGTAATACTTTTAGAAAGTAAAAGAGGATAAAAAAAAATCTTATAAAATACGGGAGATACAGAATATCAACTTAAACTTACAATTGAAAGATCCTTCATACTTAAACAGCAAAACGAAGCTCATGGTATTCTTTCCTTTCCCGCAATTTATTGTCAGCTTAATGATTCTACCCGTTATGAAATCAAGGCTCCTTGTGTTACTAACCTAGACGCAAAATAAAGATGCGGTCAATAATATCATTATTTTACCCTTTACGGAATTTATGCCTGCTGTGTCCTTCACCTACACACAGCATAAAGGTTCGGTCAATAATTATCAATATGTACATGAGATATGTTGTATTCAAATATCAACGAAATTATAAATAAGCCAAGTTTTCTTGCAAAGTTGATTTTAATTTTTAGTTCTTCTATTTTCTCGGAGTCTACTGTTATCGCTCATCTGTGCTCTCTCATTGGTTCCGTAAATTAAACTCGCTTTAATCACCAAAGCAATCAGAGACAAAAGTGAAACAAATCGTAGTTGGTTGCCCTTGGTTTTATGGCCGCACAACAAGTGGGTTGCTTTTTTATTTATTTATTTTTTTCTAATCGGTCTTTCTGTTCTCTTTCATCTTTTGTTTTACCGGCTCTCAACCGGAAAGCTCTCTTAAAAAAAATTTATGGCGGCATGGAAAGGGTCTTTTCCAATAAACCCAGGGAAGTCTGAGAAAGTATAATACTTTTTTAATTAGGGGACATGTTATTTGCATATACAAAAGTGAGTAATACTTAAGTGGTGATGTCGTTTGACCTCTTGTGCTCCAATAATTTTAGAATTGTGTCACAGAATTATAGTTTCTTGACAGAATTGCTTGGTCATATAATTACTTTAAGTCTCTGTGGTTCGTAAGGCACGTAAGACTGCAGGATGATTTACAAATCTTTGTGATGAAACTATAAGTCAATTTTTCTTTTACCTCAAGAAAGTAACCTTTAGCATCCCGATTCAGTTTGAATGCGTTGCCTTCGGGAATGTCATCTTCAGTGCCATTACATCTGATGTAGCTGGACGAATGTGCCTTCAAAGAACAATCACGACCGTTGTCCCTCATCTAAATTTACTTTCTTCTCGTCGTCGACTTTAAACATACGCAGTTTATTCCTGGCATTCTCCTTTTCGAAATAGACTAGTTTTCTTTTGTCCCCTCCTACTAATAAAGTCACCGATAGTTTAGAACTAGTTAAGGACACAGAGAAGAGATAACTAATAGGCTTGTAAAGCCTCCTGGGGGACTAGAGGTGTCGCAAGTTAGATTGTGATTTTAAGAAACAATGACGAACGTTAACTAAAATGAACAGTCATCGAAGGGGATCAAAATTTTAATATCACATATATTATCATTCAACAAATAAAATTATTAAATAACTCAACAATAATTAAATCACTCAGATATAGATCTTGGCAAAGTTCCATTCCATTACGTAATGATTTGCGACAAAGGAAATAGGGATCTTTCGAGCAAGATTTATCGCGTTTTCCATCGATGGAATGTTCTAAGATTTGCTGAACCGTTAAGCAAATTTTTGCCCTTCCTAGTGCCTGTTGATAGAAAAAGAAATGAGGAAAGTGCCTTTGCAACCCCTAGGTTTTTTTCGGCTTTTAAATGATCGGCAGGACAAATTTCACATATCTTGAAAATTTTGAAAGATTTCATAGAAGAAAATTGAAGAAAATCAAAGGCAAAGCCAAATTATCAATAGCGACTGCTTCCCTTCGTAGAGCTTTAGTTTAAAACGAAAATCATTTTGATAATATTCACTACAACAAACGATAGTCCGAACCTTGCTCGTCGCCTTTTGAAAGCTTTTAGTGACCTTGAAAAGCGAAAACTAAAATCTCCTAGAAAATCATTACGCTGGCGCGCGCACCAACATTGAACCAAAACCCTTTTGGAGTCCCTTTAATAAACGAAAATTAGGGATGGCCTCATTAAATAAGTTTGATTTCTTGAGGTTAATTTCACTCGCGCTTTATCGCAGTTAGGTTGTAATGATTATTATTCAGCATAATTTATGCATAACACATACGATGACGAATTCCCCTGCGGAAATTAAACTTCAATATTTACCTTAAAATTGAAATGAAATTTTTGAGATTATTCAATATGATATTCCACAAAAGTCGTGGTATTTTACTCACCTAATAAAGTACGAACTTTCTTGTTCTCTTGACAACCCCAAGTCTTCTTGTAAAAAATGAATGTCGAATAGTTTTGGGGGCATAAGCAGGAACAGCAATCGCCATTAATTTTCTCAGCGTTGAGTGTCTTGCAATTGAACCCCTCACCACATAACGATAAAGGGATTTTGAATGAATCCCTCTCCTTCTTCCATCCGTTGTTAGTTTTCCTGGTAATTTCGAGATCCGCTGCCATTGTGAACACTGTCTCCAAGATCGAAATAACCACCATCAGCTGTAAATTATACATCTTCATATTTTCGATTTTTAAGTTCCAGGCGGTGAATTTCTACTTTCTGCAAGGAGTGAGCCTACAAAGCATAGGAGATATCTTGTTCACCAAACGACAGCGCGCTTGATAGTTAAAAAAAAGGCTGAAACAAAGTTATACAATGAAATCTCTTCACCCAATCGAAACCATTTTCTCAAGTTTAAGATGTTCTATAATTATTGGCTGATCTGCTTCCTGTCAGGGTGCGAGAGTGAATACAGCTATTAGGTTTTCTGTAGCCCTTTGACCCTTGAGGATGAATATAATTTCTCCCAAAGGTATCACCGCTAAATCAAGCATGGGGCTTAAGAGAATTAAGGAAATGATAACAAAATTAAAAGATCATGATTTCTATCTAAATTCTCATCGTCAATGCCAAAGAAAATGTATAGAGAACAGTATGGAAAATACACATTCTGATGTAAAGGTATAAAGTGGCGAAAGATACGAAAGCACAACTTTGTAACAGCCGTGGGCAAAAAGCACGCAATGACTTAAGTTACTGAATGATTTATTGGTTTCATTTCCAGACCGTAAGGTCTTCTTTAATTTACCATTGTCTAACATTTTGTTATTACCCAGTCTTGAATAATAAACTTTATGTCGATGTTTTAACCAAGTTCATACAGTTTAATATAAAATAAAATGTTATCAACTAACTTTTGGGCACGTTATATTTTATATGACACAGAAGTACAATCTATAGAAGTCGGAAATTTGCACATACTAACCCTTAAACTCTTGTTAACGAAAAACTATAGTAATTTCTTATTAAAAAAACAACAATTCTTTTTCGGACAGTTCCATCACTAAAAGGCAGTTTTATGGCGGGTGGGTTTCTTTGAAAAATACACAGCACGAAATCGCAAATTTACGTATCTCTAACTCCTGCTTAAAGAAACGTAAATATAAAGCCTCACATAAATTGCAGTGTTATACAGGGATTTCCGGCCCTGAGAAAAAGCCGTAACAACACGTGTGAAAAAATTTTTTCACGTGTGTTAATATAGCCAATCAGCTGCTGACACGTCGTTCGCTTTTGGCGCCACTCGGTCAGGTTGATGAATGCACGACAAAGTTTTCACGATTCTCAATACAAGTTGTTTGTCGGAGCTTTCTTGAATTATGGCGGCTAAAACACTAAAAATTCCGTATCGCTGACAGACAGCGACGTTCAAACTTTCCTAGAAGGGGAAGAAAACCAATATATTAGAAGAAAAACTGAAAGTTACGTATTCGGTGGCTTTGATGTTGGCATTTCTTTCGGCTAAGAATGAAATCGATAACTGGAAGATTGGCCACTAGCCGATTTTGGCCATTTACCTGAAAGACTTCTTCTGTCGGTGAGGACACGTTGATAAATGAGAATTTAGTAAATTAAAAATTACGACCATTGTTGTTTTTGTAATCATGATTCAACGCATTTTTCCATCTTAAGAGTTAGCGCCAACGCACTTTACGATTGTTATTTGGGGATTGTGGATTCATTTATTTTCATTTATTCATGAAGTCGGCTTTTCTTGTCAGGAAAGGGCTATTGTGTTTATATGATAAACAAAATAATACATGATTGCTTGTAGATATGGAATTTCTCTTTTCGTGTTCAACTTGACATCTCACTCGTTCGCTGCACTCACTCGTGAGCTATCGAGTTGAACACTCGAAGAGAAATTCCATATCTACGCGCGCCCATGTATTATTCTCTATTTCTTTACGGACAAGTTCCGCGTTCCGTAAAGATGCGTCATTGCAGAGAAAGCCTAAAGACTGCGTAAAGGATATTAAATGTTCGTAAAGGATAAGGATCAAGATGAATATAGTTAACCATTTTCTATTTGGAGAAATACTCAAAGAAGTGGAATAATTATAGCTCATTCATCTTCAGTAGAATTACCGAGATATTCTGACCAGTTTCGCTTTTAACACTTTACGCGTCTTTAATATTCTTTACGCATCTTTACTCACTTTCCTTTACGAACCTTTAACATTCTTTAACATTCTTTATGCAAAATCAATCTTTACGCGCCGTTAATTCTCTTTATGAATCTTTGGTGTTCCTCAACGACCCTTAACTTTTCCTTCGCACAACCAGTCTCTACGTGCTTTTAATTCTCTTTCCGCATCTGTATTTTGTCTTTTACACTGGTTCTAAACTTTCTGTTCGCATAAATATGTTTAAACTACCTTTTTTTAACGCGCCTTGAAACTCATGTTCAGGGAATTGTCGTGATGAGACGATCATGTTTTTTTTCCCCAAAAATGGACACTGCAATGACGTGTGGAAGCGTGATGCTCTAATGTTTGTAATAATAAGTTTGTCGAACTTTAAGACCCGACTGTCAACGTTCTAGCATTGTTTTAGTTCTCGGGACGTTTGATGAAGAATTCCTGGGGACGAAAATACATAGAAACGAGGTTGCCGCAGATCGGCGGGAGAGTATAACAGGTAATTTAGTGTTAACAACTGAGTTGAAAACGTAAATTAGCCACCGTAAAGAGTTAAATGGCTGACGTTTCGAGCGTTAGCCCTTCGTCAATCGCTCTGATGAAGGGCTAACGCTCGAAACGTCAGCCTTTTAACTCTTTACGGTGGCTAATTTACGTTTTCAACTCAGTTGTTGACACTAGATTACATCTTTAATTCGGACGATTCTTCCGACAAGCTCGATACTGTTTGATGAAGGATCGTGTTCACAAGACTGCGATGAGCCTATCAGAAGGTGAGACATATATTTGTATTCATGGCGCGAATATTAGCGTCCGTGATCAGTGGACTCTTTTTCTTTAAAAATGTCAAGAATTTCCGGCCACATCAGCGTGAGCGACAGTTTTACTGTGCTACTGGACAATTCTTTGCGCGATGAAGAAAATGCCTTAAAGTTCGAAGAGCTTTCAAACAAAGCGGACTCTTTCTGTAAACTTGTCGCCGGGAACAACTCGGGCAGCAAGGAAACGAAATCAAAGGAAGGTAACTCGAAGGTCCATGTGCCTACAAGCTTTGCGAAACCAATGAGACATTTTGTATATCTATGTAAAAATTTTGATATTTATGATATTTGTATTTTTCAGTTCTTTCCCGTGTATATAAACCTCTAGCTACGTTACTGTGAAAATTACAAAATCAAGTTAAACAGTTATGACAATAAAATAAATTTCAATGTATAAAACACGTGTTGTTATATATGGGTCAGTCCTTGAAAGGCATGTACGGCATCGTTTTACAGAAGCGTAAACTATCGCAAACGTTCTCGATACGACTTTCGGCAATACGCGTTAAGATAGCGCATTACGTCGATGTTGTCACGAGCTCACATTTGCTATGGTCTGATTAGCAAAAGGGAATGTTGCCAAAAAATTTAGACAACTGCAAAATGACAGATGGGCATATAAATATTGCCCATTTACGATAGTTTAATAATGCGTAAAGATCGCCTTTCTGATCGCTTTACAGTCGCCGTAAAATATCGTAAATATTCTCTATACGACTTTTTACAAGGCACTTAAAGATAACGTTTTTAGTCTCTCTCCGTGATCTTTACGTACTATCGTTTCCAATGCGTAAAGACATTCTTTACAAGAGTGTAAAGAAGTTCGTAAACACGCGTAAAGAGGATCTTAACGCTTACTTTACGGCATTTTACGGATTCGTGGCCTAATATAGTTTAGTTCCTAAGTAAGTAATTAAGTAAGTAAGAGACTTTATTTAAGAAGGATAATATTCAACAATTATTAAATTACTGACAAACTTGTGGCCCTCTAAATATAAAATACACTTTAATCAAAAACCTACGCTTAATAATAGAGATTAAAATTTTCAAAATTAGTCACAGATATATCACAGAAAGGATTCCATTGAAATATTTCTAGTTAAGGTTGTTAGAAATAGTCGATAAAAATGAAGATGCAATATTACAAATTATCTTTTTATAGAAATTCATTCCAAATAGGTGATTAATTATCGGCAAGATTTGTTCGACTCATACATGTCCACTATGTCAGAAAGGATCCCATATTCTGGCTATGCCATTCTTACTGCTTTTTACACAAATACGTGGCCGTCATTAGAGGCAAAAGGTCTTTCTTTTCCCCCAGAGCTAATTCATTGTCACCAATCAAAGCGGTTTCAGATTGGATCTTTTTCAAGAATATCGTAAACTGGTTCGATGCTAATGTCCAAGCCACCTGTGTTGTTTAGTTTATTCTACGTTATGATGGATTGGGTCTACTTTAAACAAAGCACTCCGATGGTGAGGGCCTTATGCATCTTCAGGAGCCTTCAAAACGTTGTACACGGGGTCACCATCATTTTCAGTGACCGGTGCCTCTAACGTGTTGTAAACAGGCTCTGTTAAGCCCGTTGTAGCATAATAACTTGATTCTTTTTGCTCTGAAACGTTGCTCATAGGATGATTGCCTTTGTCAATGTAGTTGTAATGTAGCCCGTCTGTAGAGTCTGACGTGATACCAAAGTAGGCGGGGCTTTGAGACCCATCGAGACATGACCCCTCCAAAACGTTGTACACTGGTTCAGTGCCATTTCCACCACCCTCGACAGGTTCTTTCAAAGGGTCCACGACTAGTTCCTCCATTAGATCATAAACACGTTGGTGTACGCTGATGGGGCCATTCATTTTAGGTCTCGTATCCTTGATTACTTTTTCCTTGTTGTTTCTGTGACCATTGATGTTTTTTCCTTCAGAAATATTCAAAGGAGCGTAGAAATGTCCTTCGTTATGATCATTTTTGCTGGAATTTCCACCACCCTTGACAGGTTCTTTCAAAGGGTCCACGACTAGTTCCTCCATTAGATCATAAACACGTTGGTGTACGCTTATGGGGCCATTCATTTTAGGCCTCGTATCCTTGATTACTTTTTCCTGGTTGTTTTTGTGACCATTGATGTTTTTTCCTTCAGAAATATTCAAAGGAGCGTAGAAATGTCCTTCGTTATGATCATTTCTGCTGGAATTACTTAAGTGTGCTTCTCCATCGCGAACGGGTACTTGATAGCCTGACGCATACACAGCTTAAGGTACAAAACATTTAAGATATAATATTCAGATAAGTTCATTTCTTTATGACGTATACAGAATGAAGCATTCTTGTTATGGATCTCTTAATGGGTCGGTCACATTCCTGTCATATTCCTGTAGGATTCTTTAATCCATTCAAGGATGGCTCTCTATCTATTCCAGTGCTAAGTATAATCATGAAACACTTCGATAAAAAAATTAGTGGTGGTTGCTGCAGTGTTCACAGATTAGGACAAACTTAATTGACGATGAAAGGTGGTTTTTACTAACCTGGTTCTCTTAACGTAAGCGCTTTGTAATGATCCTCGTTATCCAGTGTATCCAATGTAACTCCGTCCAGACTTCTCGTTGCTGTTTTCTGAGACAACAATAAAAGCTGAGTTTAAGGCTTGAAAAGCAGTAAGAGGCCAAACTAGAATTAAGTATATAATTTATACGTACCTTTTTCTCTTCGCTTTCTTTACCAGAGTTGAACTTATCCCTGTCAAAAAAATATATGGCATCTTTAAAAAAATGCATCCATAGCCAAAGATCTATATGTTTGAAGGGCGTTTCCTGTAAAGTTGGGAAAGGGTGCCCTGGGAACGAGGTCGAATTGGAAGTGAGCCAGAAAACCTGCGGCAGTGTATCAACTCGTGGCTCACTCAGTGGTAAGGCTCTTAAAAGAATTCTTACACTGAATGTCGGTGTCGATAGACCAGGACGGCAATAATGACAAGAATAACCAAGATGGCGACGGTTACACCCGCGATGAGGGCCATAGGGGATGATTTTCCACCTGTTCTTCGTTCTAAGCCGGGATCGCGACGGGTGACAACAGGATCCTGTAGACGATAAGCACAACATGTTACAACTTCTCTCCTGAGAAGTTTTAGTCGCACGTACAAAATAAAGCCCATTGTCTATCGGTTTAATCAGATCAAATGTATTCTTACTTCAGATGGTGAATCTGATGTCGTCGGCCGCTTTGCTAAAGTAGTTGGTGAAGCTTCGCCAACACCGAAGGTTGTTGGCAGTGTAGAAGATGGTGTCCTTAACGGATCAGTAACCATAGATACAGTGAAAGGAATAGTCGACGGAACATGGGAAGTCGATGGTGCATGTTCTCTTGCACTCGTTTTCAGTGATTGAGATGAAAGAGAAGATGTACCCAATGGCTCTGCTGTGGCTGTGGGCTGTAATGTTGGTGTTGGTATGGTACCTTAAATGGAAATATGTTGAGGTCATGGATATTTTTAAGGGTGCAAGCGATATGACTCATTGCATTTACCACTGAGACGCTTTTAACAAGAGAAGGCCTGACTGGTTTCTCATCAGAATTATGTGAAGTAGGAATGAAATATCCGAATCAGATAATGATTTCAAATGAGCCTTATAAAGTGTGTTTCTACACGTAAACTAAGCTAAGGCAAGTTCCAACACACTGAGATAAACCTTGCTCCTTTTGCGATAAAATTTATTTCCGTTCAAGTAACAAGAAAAGGACATGATTGGCGTGAATAGGAACACCTACATTCAGTAATAATCCGCATTGTACGCAGTTTTTGCATGGCCTTAGCACATTCTGAAAATTCTGGTACACGTTTTCTTACCACATTGAAATTCATAGTATAGATTGTCGAGTTAAAGATAATACTCAGTTTTAGAAAGTAAAAGGGGATAAAAAAATCTAACAAAGTACGGGAGATACAGAATATCAACTTAAACTTACAATTGAAAGATCCTTCATACTTAAACAGCAAAACGAAGCTCTTGGTCTTCCTTCCTCTCTTGCAGTTTATTGTCAGTTTAATGATTCTACCCGATATGGAATCAAAGCTCGTTGTGTCAGTCACCTAGACGGAACATAAAGATTCGGTCAATAATAACATTATTTTACCCTTTACGGAATCTACGTACGCTTGCTGTGTTCATCACCTACACGCAAAATAAAGGTGCGGTCAATAATTATCAATATTTACATGAGATGTGTCGTATTTAAATATCGACGAAATTATACACAAGCCAAGTTTTTTGCAAAGTTCTTCGTTCACTTTATTTTTAGTTTCTTCTATTTTCTCGAAGTCTATTGTTATCGTTCATCTGTGCTCTCTGATTAGTTCTGTAAATTAATCTCGCTTCAATCACCGAAGCAATCAGAGGCAAAAGCAAAACAAATCGTATGTTGGTTGCCCTTGGTTTTTTTGCCGCACAACAAGTGGGTTGCTATTTTAGTTGTTTTTTACTAATCGGTCTTTCTGTTCTCTTTCATCTTTTGTTTTACCGGTTCTCAACCGGAAAACTCTCTTATAAATTAATACGGCATGGAAAGGGTTTTCCCAGTCAATGCTGTGAAATCTGACTAAGTATAGTACTTTTTAATTAGTGAACATGTTGTTTGCATATACAAAAGTGAGTAAGACTTAAGTGGCGATGTCGTTGACTTCTTATACTCCTATAATTTTAGAATTGTGTCATAATTATAGGGTCTTGACAGAAGTGCTTGGTCATCTAATTATCATAAGTCTCTGTGGTTCGCGGGGCGTGAAAGGCTGCAAGATGATTCATAAATTTTTTTGAATTAACTATAAGTCAATTTTTCTTTTACCTTAAGAAAGTAATTATCATCTCCCCGAATGATTCTGAATGTGTTGCTTGCGGGAAGGACATCTCCAGCGCCATCACATCTGAAATAGCTGGAGTACTGTGCATTTACATTACAACTACCGCTGTCCTCATTTAACTTTACTTTCTTCTTGTCGTCGAATTTCAATATACGCAGTTCTTCCTTGATATTCTCGTTTTTTAAATAGACTGGTGTCTTTTCGTCCCCTCCTGCTAACAAAGCCACCGAAAGTTTAGAACTATTTAAGGACACAGAGAAGGATAACTAATAGGCTTGTAAAGCCTCCTGGGGGACTACAGGTGTCGCGAGATTGTGGTTTTAAGAAAAATAAAGAACGATAATCAAAATGAACAGTCATCGAAGGGGATCTAAATCTTAATATCACATAAATTATCATTCAACAAAGAAATTTATTTTCTCAGGACAAAGGAGGGTCAACTTTTGATTTTTGTTCTAATGATCAATACTACATGCATTCCAGCATTGGTGCATGTTGAGATTGGAAACGAAGGGCAGAGAGAAGGGGTAAACTATAAAGCATTGTTACTAAAGACTAGGTAGTCAAGTAGTTACGTCTTCAGAATCCCTCGCCCTTACATAAATATTGACAGGAATATTGAAAGATCCAGAGTTTGAAATCCTGTTTGCATACTATTAGTTTTACCACTGATCTTTTGCGGTTAACATTTAATAGGGTTGTTTCCCGCAAAAGTTACTCTATGACGCTTGCCATGACGTTTGTAAGCCATAGCGGAAACTCATTTAATCTAGCTTTTTCATAGAATTAGAAGAGGGATCTTCTCTTAGTCTTTCAGAATTTATTACTTACAAATTTTTAAACAGTTCACTCACCCAATAGAGCACGAACGTCCTTGTTGTTTTGACAACCCCTTGTCTCGTTGTGAAAAATGAAAGTTGCGGAATGGCTGGGGCATGAACAAGTGCAGGCAACACTTGTCGCCTCGGCGTCAAAGCTTGAGCAATTATAGATCTCGCCGCATAAAGATGAAGGAATCTTGAACATATCTTTCCCCATCGTCCATCCTACTTTTCCAGCTGGAATTTTTCTGGTAATCTCGGTATCCGATGTCATTGTAAAACTGTTACACAAGTTAACATACTCGCCAGAGGCAGAATATTATGCATCTTCATGTTTCAGATCTTTAAATCTCGCGGGAAAGAACACGAAGTGCCACAGAGTTGATTACACTAACGTTGATAAGAAGTTCTTATGTTTGTACTTCCCGGAAGCAAAAGGCCAGCCGGTTGTGTTCTCTTGGCCACCAAAACAAGAGCACTGTTAAGAAAGTCAAACCAACTCTCGAATGAAGTTTCGAAACTAATGTTCTTCACTCAACCGTGGACATTTCTTCTACCAAAAGAATTTGAATAACAATTGGTTGCTGTGTTCCCTTTTATGGCTCAAGAATAGTACAGTTAATTTGTTTTCAATGATACAGCGGAAGCGTAACCGCATTAAAACGTCGAATTCCGTAGGCCAAAAGAATTATTATTTTGTAGGTAAAGCAAAGTTGGTTTTATTGTAAACTGTTCAGTACTTTTTATATATTTGTCGCCCTGTTTTCTGTAAAGCTTAGTTTCTGTGTTAAAAAGAAAATGTTTCCGCTCAATCAAAGAAAAAACTTCTTTGTTTAAGGCCCAGAGATATTGTGAGATATTGTTCAACTTATTTAAATCCGCTCGGTTTACACTAATTTAGCATCATAACTTTAAGAGATATTACGCTTCAGCGGAGGGAAGAGTGTAATACATCTTACAGGAACAAGAAGTCTGAGTATCATTGTTATTGCCTCATCATGTTATGACATGAAGTAAATAAAGCCATCACTGACAATAATGATTAATGATGTTACGTATTACGCTCGGAACATTTAAAAAAACTGATATTTAATCAACAGTGAATGAAAGTGACACTACCTTAGCTTGATGAACACGCGAGCAAAATAAAACATATCTGAACATATGCTTTACTTTAATCTTGGGATCAGTTTGGACTGAGTCAGGGACAATTGCAACTGTGCGCCACTAAGGAACATCGTTATATTTTTTAATTTTTCCCTACTTTTAATTCCATGCATTTACAAAGACGCTTATTAGTTTGTCGCACAGAGATAAATATCAGCTGGTCAAATTGACAATTCTTGGGGTTTTATATTACGAAGTAAATTCGACATCACGCACAAACAAACAATCTATGATTAAGTATCTACAGTAAATCGTTTCAAACCGAAAGTAATATTCGTTAGCGTGATCTTATCGTCCGTGTGAGGGTAGTACTGAGATGGACTATAATCCTTTAATATCTGCATCGCCCGCAAATACATCACTCCGCTACGTCACTTACTAACCAACGTCAAGGTATTCCCGAGAAGATCTTACAACCTTTCCGTCTTGCCCACAAATACATCACTGCACTTCTTCAGATATTAATCAAACGCCACAGACAAAGACGAACCGAAGAACACAAAGGGAAGATAGTCCCGAGAAGATCTTACAACCTTTCAATATCTGCGTCGACCACAAATAAAAACATCACTGCACTACTTCAGATATTTACCAACGCCACAGACAAGGACGAACCGAAGAACCAGAAAGGGAAGGTAGTCCTGAGAAGATCTCACAACCTTTCGATATCAGTGTCACCCACAAACACATCACTGCACTACGTCAGTTATTAACCAACTTTACAGACAAGGACGAAGCGAAGGAGAACCAGTCAGCGGTTTACAAGATCAAGTGCTCGGACTGTCAGACCTCCTACCTCAGATAGACTGGTAGAAACCATTCGCGAGCGACGTGAAATGGTGATATCAACAATCCTATTGCTGAACATTATCGTTTTACGGACCACATTATTGACTGAGACTCTTCGCAATGCCTAACCTACAGCACTATATATTTTCAATTCAATTTTCTGGAAAGCTGGTTTACTGACGCAAAACGGACTGCCCTCAGCAAGAGTCAACAACTATCGGTACCACACAAACAATTTAAACCACAAACAAATCAAACGGAACGACCTAAAATTTCCGACCAATCAGAACGCTTGAGTCCTGTAACCAAAACATCACCACTAAACTGACCAATTAGCCAACACGAGCCGGAATTATACGACTCGACTGATAATAACTCTTCACTTGACTTTGATGATGACTTCCGCCCATGTTATCGAGGCGTCAGTCACCACCACCGACAACAGTCCTTCTCTGGCCTACAAACATCTGACGATTAGACTAAACCATCAAATTTAACTAACATGAATAATACAATTAACAGGAATAGTCTTTTTAGATAAGAAGGTTAGCGTTATTCCTATTATTGTTAATTTTATCCTCAGTGTATATTATTTTTAAACTATAATTGTGTTGAACAGTTTGTTTTCTCAAAGAGAGCATTTCCAGAACTACGTGCAATTTTGAATTATACTCGTATTTTGCTACTAAAACTAAGAAACGAATACAAAATTGATACTCGCAGTTATGAACACTACTGAACTAGTATTTGAAATAAGGCCTGAAAAAAATTCAGGCCCATACGGGATTTGAACCCATGACCTCTACGATACCGGTGCAGCGCTTTACCAACTAGGCTACTAGGAGCTGGTCATTATGTTGGCCATTAAAAACTAAGAACTTTTTACGTTTAGGTCTATTTCATGATTTTAAAAGAATTGGCCCAAAGTGGTATTTCGAAGGGACATGTGTGAGGTGGGGCTGCCAGTTTCGAGACAAAAGAAATCATGAATCCCCAGAGCTACTGTTTGAGTCACAAGTTAGGAACAATCAAGTGAGATTAGCAACGATTTTCAGCTGCCACGTCTTTTTATTGAATAACTTCAATATGAAGCATGCGAACATTATGATAAAACTGATACACTTCTCAATGAGATAAATGCGACCGAAAATTCGTAGAATTCCACGCTGTAAAAAAGACTTTGTTTCAATGTATACTTGAACTGTTTCTGGTACGGACTCAAGAAAGAACTTTTAACACACACGAAGACTGAAGCAAATGAAGTAAACCGACTGACTGACATACTTTTCTTTAGTCCTCCTCCTACTAAAAAAACCACAAAACTGACTTCGCTTGACAATTAGATTCTTTCGAAGCAAAAAAAAAATCTCAACTGGATTGACTATGGTTTTCAAGATGGGATATCTTTCAGGTTATGAAACTTTCACTCGACGTTATAGATAATCTCTTTCAGTACAAACCTACTGAGACAATAATAATATAGTTACGTTGTTGACTTGTAATTGTCTGGTCATCTATCCGCCATTTGGTCGAATGAGATCAAAAGCACAATTTTCAAATTGCCAACGATTGTGATCTAGGATAACAATGGTCTCACAAACTCGCACCATCTTCTCAACTAATCCGATTCAAGAGTTACACCAATTACGGCTCTGTCTGTAGCTCGCGTGAACAGGGTATTCGGTGGTAACCTTGCTTTTTTATTGAATTTTTTTATTGGCTTCTTGTGATGCTTTTTTTTGCTCTGATTGGTCATTGAAATCACAGCTTCTTAGAACTTTGTGGTGCCGTAAGCTGCGTCATAAGTATGGCCATTTTGCCTGGATTCCTCCTCTTCATCCTCTTCTAATGCACTGGAGACTTGTGGGTGCATCGTTTCATAATCTTCAAGTTCATGTAGAACTGGTGGTGGAAGATACTTTTCTAAAGTGTAATTGTAGACTTTCTTATCCGAAGACATGGAACCGTATTTACTGGGTCTTGCAACACGATCAAGATGATATCCATCCAAACCATTGTGATGACCATCCCTGGACATGGAACCATATTCGCTGGCTCTCGAAGAACGATCAAAATAGCGTTTACTCAAAACACGACCATTTTGGGACGTGGTACCATTTTGACTAGGTTTCGCTGAAAGATTACGGTAAAGTTCATCGCTACCATCTCGAGGCGTGGTACCATTTTGACTGGGTCTCGCTGAGTGATTAAGACTACGTCCATCCAAGCCATGATGCTCTCGTTGAGCATCATTTTCGTCATCGTGTTTATGTCCTTTCGCTACCGCGACTTTAAGCTCTTCCACACAACTGTATACAAGTTGATTTACACTAACAGGACCTCTCTTTTTGTCCCTGAGATCGGGGTCCAAGTCAGGGTCCCTGTAGTCAGGATCCCTGTAATCAGGGTCCTTGTAGTCCGGATCTTGTTCAAGACCTGAATCTGGGTCCATGTTATTTCCTCTCCTTGCCTTTAGGTCCTCCATACAATTGTATACGAGTTGATTTATTCTAACAGGACCACTCTGTTCTCTCCTGAGATTAGGGTCCAAATCAGGGTCCTTTGTAGACTACATCTTTAGTGTCCAAAGTGGGTACTGATGTCTTTTTACCTCCGTGGTCATGCATATTGCGTTCCTCAGCCGTGCTTGAGGAAGCATATACACGTCTTCCACCGAGGTCACCAATAGTTGTATGTGGAGCCTTATTAGGATTCGGCGATTGATAGTTTGATGTGTAAATTGCTAAAAATGGAAATGTTTTGTTGAAGTAAGCAAAACAAGATATGTCGGATCTTTTCAACAAAGGCAGCGACTCATGCAACCTTAGCTAATCTTAGCACACCACGGTGTCAAATGATCAAGAGTGACACTTCTCACAATTAAATATGAATGTATTTTACTGCTCTAAAATTCACAAATGTCGCGGCTCGTTTATTATTCGAAACACGATTTGGTTAGAGATCATCCATTGAACCACTTAGTCTCACTGTCAATTTGACTACCGTTGTCAATTCAAACTCTAGCTGTAGCTGTAACTTTCGGAGTCACTAACCTCTGTTATTTATTTTGTAAATGATTCAGTTTCCTGTTAAAGTATAGAGGGGTTGCGTTTGTAAAAAAAAAACGTGTTGCTGAGTTGGTGGGGAGTTATAAAAGAGAGTTTGGTTCTATCTACTGAGTTGATAATGCAAATTGGCAACCGTGGTGATTTCGTCATTCTGACGAAGGGTTTAGGTTAGGGGCGTATGCTTTAGAAACTCTTTATGGTGGCCAATTACATAATGAAACTCAGGTGATAAAACCAAATTATCTTTGTAAAGCATTGGGTCTCTGTTGTCATCGTAGATTTCGTGGCGTTACCGTGATTTTATATTCCTGCTGTTAAGTTTCGGTTGTAATTATATGCTGGTTCATAAGTATGGTTATTTACTTACGAGGCCCTCTTATTCCAAGCGCCTTGTATCCGTTCTCATCATCTGCTTCATATGCGGAACTGGCTCGATGCCTTGCTGTTTCTGCGTCCTATGATGCATGTAATGAAAAATATTAGACAATTCTGACTGTATAACAAGAACGTCTTGCTTCGTTAAGCCTGTAAATCGCGGATTTTTGTGTCATGGGTAACCCTAAGACCGTTCGAATGGAAACAAAAGCACAGTATTGTGTTTAGATCATGTGATATCATCATTTAAATCATGGAAGTTCCAATTTGTTCGCTGTTCAGAAAAGCGATCATCTCTTAAGGGTTAGAAGATCTCAAGCGATCTCAAGGGATTGGCTTTCTGTAAGGGTTAGATTTAGGCGGAACATAATTTTGACTTTTATGCAGGAGTACTACTTCCATTGGTTTGAGGAAAAAACTAGTATCCCTTACCCAGGAGAAAAAGAACTTACTTCTTTCCCTCCATTTTTTGGTCTCAACTGAGGCTTCTTTCTGTAGACAAAAAAAAATTATGCTATTGTGTAGGGGTATCTGAAAATCAGTCTCCTTTTTAAATACAGTTTGCATACAGTGACTCTGTATATTTAAAGACCAAAAGTAGTCTAAGCGTAGTTTGAATATAACGTTGTAGCTTGCATTTTCGGATTAGCAAAAATTATATCTAAGATGCAAAATGCAAAATTGAGGAAGAAATGTTTTGATAAGTCGAGGCTCGATCCTAGAATACAGCGTCGCAAATTAAGGACATTTATAAGATGCCGTAGTGTTTTAATGATAACTTATTGCACTCTCACGAGGTCCTCAAGATATTAGACGATGATTGGGAATTTTTACCTACGACTTCGGATCCGCGTTAAACTCTTAGGCAATAGGTGTTAAAAATATCTCAAGTTTCGAGTAGAATTTATAGAAAGGAAATTTAACAGGGTGCCTGAAGGACTCCAGATCGCCCCTATCTCAAAAAGTTTTGGCCATAAAATGTAGTAACTTCGCCTCAACCTATGCCAGGAAACGAGCTGGAGATTTAGGGGGGCGAATTGGTAAAGATGGATGCGAACTGGTAAGGGACGAACTTGCAATGGAGCGAAACTTCCATACACCTTTATTTGACTTATCATACACAATCTTCCTGACTAGATTGCTTACCTGAAATGACGGGATCCAAGATACGAGAAACCAATCACAATCGTAAGTAAGAGAATAGATACGATGAATGCTGCGATGAGACCCACTGAGGGTCCATCATGTGTATCCCGCTCCTGGTCTCTTCTCGGTGGACCCTCGGGATCGGTCGGTGGACCCTCGGGATCGGTCGGTCGCCCTCCAGAAACGTTGCCTACCTTGCTGACTGTAAGTTTTGTTGGTTGAAGTGGTGGCTGTATATTCGTGGTGGTACTCGGTGGTTCAGTCGTGGGTGGAGGTGGAAGATTGGGTGGTGTGCTGTTACCTGAATTTTTTTTAACAAGAAACATATTTTAGGTTTGAAAATCACTGATTTCATTGAGGCTGAAAAATAGTGCAAATTGAAAGGGATTCTGCCGGGACTTACAATTGATATTTCCTTCATACTTGAACAGCAGCGACCTCACTATGCTAGTGTGGGTGTTACATAAGATACCCAGCTTGATAATCTTTCCCTTGAACTCAGATTTATTGGACACGCCATTGACACCAACCTGTGACATAAACAGAAAAACACTTTTGTCTCGACAACCTTAGCGAAAGTCATCCTCCGAAACAAAGGAAAACCTGTGTCTTAATTGGAATGTTGTCAATCTGATTCATGGAAACTGATTGGTTAGTTTCACTTTGATGATCTTGGCTGTTGAATTCAAGAAGCAACTATCCTTTGTCAATTTTCGATTGATCAGTTTAGGTCTAAAGGTAGAGTTAGGCGTTTGGTTCGGAAGATAACTCGTACTTAAGTGCTTTCTTTAGGATACCAAGACCTATCTCAACATATGAATATTTTTTTAAGTCTCACCGAAAGAAAGAATGGAAAATCAGTAACATCCGATCCATGTTCGACTGTAAACGGGGGCTTGTTTCTAAATTGTGCTGCAGGACCGTAGCATCCAAGAGACCAGGAATTTGCAGAGTCTACTTTGCAGTTCTGCACATTTGACAAACTCAATCTTCTACTGTCGGTGTCGTTAACCATCCCTAACGGACTGGTAGCTGGTTCTCCGTCGAAAGTGACGAACGGGGGCTTGCGAAATCCTTTTAAATAAAAAAATAATACTTTATCGATTCCTTGAACTCAGGCGTGAATGAAATTGAGAATTAGGATTCTTTGCCAGGGGCCTCTGTAATATGTTTAGTGCCGTTTCTTTGTGTTGATCAAATACGTTATCTAAAACAAAGAGGTGGCCATAAGATCCCCTCATTCCCGGCATCCTGCAACACAGAGTTGAACTAAATCCATCACATTTATATAATATGTGAGGTACTCAGCTTTCCTCCAGCATTTATCAACACGAGACAAGTCCCAGTCCAACCGAAAACTTAGTTTTCATTAAGTGGCACTTGCCACGTCATGTTCAGAAAGGAAAACTGAGGTAGGCTGGGTTTTCAATGCCATTCAGGGGGCCACCATTCTCGAACTCTGCACTACAACAGTCCTGTAAGAAATGGTATAATCAAGCCTTACAAGCGTATCTCTGGAATTAAATGCCTCTGTAACTAGATTTAAATTTTTTTACCTACATTTGCCACTGGGAGACAAGCATTTCCAAACAACTTGAGAGCACCACGTGCAATTACCATATGTGGCCAGTGAGCCATTAATGAGCCATTGTCTTTCAAGGAAACATTTTGTATGTGTACGGTTTTCTACACTGCAGCTTTAAACCTCAGTGAATGTTGTCAATGAGCGACACTCATTGACAAAAGGTCAAAAATTCAGTGTTGGTTTTCTGATTTAGTTAAGTCTTACTGAGGCCGTTTAAGTAAAAAGAATGTTGCTGCGCCTTGTATTTCACTTCTCCATGGATGCTCATGGATATCTAATTTTTGCGTTTTAATTTAGTTTCTGCGGACAATTTTGCTTTTAACCTCATGTCACTTGTTTAGAATTACAGCCATGTTTAAACGTCATATGATTTTTACTTTAAAAATAGATACAAACTGATTTTTTAAAATTGTGCGATCCTCTACCAAGTTTTGACATGATGATTCACTAAGAAAAATTCCAATTTTTACTGGAAATTAATTGATATCGTAGATTTCCTTCACAATTTGGTTAATTTTCTTCATTTACATTACATAAGATATGCAGTGATTACACGATCAATCTTAGCACCTTATAATCAGAAATGCCGGAAATTCTAGAACTACTAAGCAGTTACAATCTCTGAATCTCTCTCGAGCTCAAGTGGAATGTATTGGATGACCTCGGTGATGCATCACGACAGTAAACCTTGAAGGTCGGGTTCACGAAGGATGTTTGTAAAATATGGAGATGATCAGTGGTTTATGTTGTGTGAGGTTAATTGCAAAAAAAGGCGAAAAAAGTACACGGTGCTTCCTAAAAGAATTTAGATAATGAAAAGTAGAGTTCAACTTTTTCTGACTTCTGACAAATTGACAAAAAATAGTTCGACTGAGTTATTGGTTGTAAAATTGTTCAGATATGAGCTAAGGGGAAAAGAATTTTGCTTTCCTTGAATCCGCGATAGAGTCACGCGAAGTAAGCGACGGTAAAATTACAGTAATGTTTGACGGAAATCCAGAGGTAGACATCGGTTTGAGTAACCACGAGGTTTGATTTCCCCAGGGCTCGGGTTGCCCTCGCAAAATTTTGGTATAAAGTACGGCAGCTGTACAAGGGAAATCGTAAGTTGAGTTGGGAGCTTGGTTCGAGTTATTAGGAGACGAAAATTCAAGGGTTTATTCTTAAGGATTGACTCGACCGGGAATATCCGTAGAATTCATGATAGCATGACTTTGCTTAGAACCTTTTAAGAAGGAAATCTATATTCATTTGAAACTGAAATTGTTGGGATTTTTATGACCAATATTTTTCATGCAATTTCATTTATTGCCTTTCAAAGCCCTTTCAAATTTAATTTTACTGATTTTTGAGGGTCCATCTCGAATCAATTATAATGTTCTAGCAATGTTGAGCTCAGTGACATGAATGTCTCCTCTTTCTTGAATTCCTTGTCATTTAAGAGTTGAAATGATTCTCCTTTGGCGATGATGTTGCCAACTTCTAGCTTGAATTTTAAAATCTTATCAAAGTTCTCACAATTAACTAATTTCTTTAATATAATAATTTAATAAATTACACTATTTGGCAATATCAAAGATTAAAGAGTTTTATGACACTCGGGCGTACTCAAGGAAATCCGCCAGTAGATTTTGCTTTTCACTGATCACTGCCCTTACCAAAGAAGATATTGATGTGCTGCAAAATATTTTTACCTTCATTTAGCGTGGCAAATGGATGCAGAAATCATAAAAAGAAATTTTTTAATTGTACGTCAGTAAGACATCTTTAAAGAGAGGAAGGTTGGAACCTTTCAAAAGCCGTTTAGCTGAACGTGAATTTCAATCGAATAGACCCGTTAAACTGGAAAACGAGGGCTCAAGAGAAAAAAACCGCCAAAGGTTAGGATCAAAATGAGGAGGCATGTGAATTGACAAGCGAATAACAAAAATCTAAAAAAGACTTTTTTTTTAAGTCTCGATTATAACACCGAAAAATGAATATCCGAAACGGGAAAAGCAAAAACCAAAGGGGGTAACAGAACCGAAAACTGATGATTGCTGATGGAAACAACGAAAAAATAATCTAAAAAATGACATTAATGTGAAAAATTAATAAAAAATACTATTACACCGTCGGGTCATGAACTTTTGGTTCTCATAAACGGATGATCGAATTTGTGCTGCGTTAGGGAGCTTTTTGGCACGGTAGTCGAATTAATTGCTTAATTAACGAACTGATCTTGCGGCAAGATTACTCACCAAACAATCTTCGGACTTGACTGTTGTCCAAACATTCCCATTTACCATTATGGAATAAAAACGTCGCTCTATCACGTGGGCATACACAAGCGCATCGATCGACAGTAGGCGTCTTTAAATCGGCGCGGAATTGACGACAATTTGTTATGTGTCCACTTTGACACTGCGATGAAGGAATGATAAACCCATCTCTACCGTCTAACCACCCATCTTCTCCATCCGGACGTGTCCTGAAAATCTTAAACTCTTCTGATATCGCAGTTACGCTCAAAGAAATCAAAGTCGTTATGATCAATTCGGTCCAAAATATTTCCATTTTGCGCAACATGCTATTCTCTCTGATAGAGAGTAAACCAGTCTTAGCTTTTGCTATTACCTAAAGGACGAGGAGGAGATTTTCACAAGACTATGTGAGGAGCGGGCTCTGAAACAATTACGTCGTATTATTTATGTCGCTCGTGCCGCTTCGAGAATTAACGAGTTGCGTTTACGGCATTATACACATTATCATAGAATAACATAGTGACCACATCCGCCTGGTGACCAGCTAATACAGGTTGTAAACACAAACTCCGATTACCATTTTCGGTAAATAGTACTTCAAGCTCTTGTACTACCAAGTGTTTTCGTTATATTGACAACTCTCTGACAGAATATGGCGGCCAATATATCCATTGATATCTCTTTGCTTTTATCTTTATAAAAGTGAAAACACTCTTAGGAAAAATGATTGACCACATAATACCTGCGGCCACAGATACAAATGTTGTTTTCGTGGCACCCTGCTGCAAATTTGTTCTAAAACGGTAAATAAAAACCGAGAGATGCGTTTGCTAAAAAGACCTAAAAAACAAGCGTGGAAGAAAGGCGCGTGCTCCAAATAATGGAATCTTGCTTCCAATAGTGTGACGTCAAAGTTTGAGGAGTTTCAAAAATAGGCGAACCAATCACATTCGAGATGGGGCCAAAAATTTCAAATTTGTTTTGCGCGCTGAAAAAAGAAAGCTAAATACGATAACGCGGGCGATGAAAGGCGTAAATTAATGCAAAAATCCTTGGCGTTTCCGTTTCTTCAAACAACGGTACTTTGCGAAATATTAGGCTCAGGTTACGGGTTACTCGTCTGCTTTATTTTTCTTTTTTTCTTAATGATCTCCTTCTTCATCTCCTTCGTTATCTTCACGGAATCCTCTTTGATAAGAACAATTTTATATCCAGCAAAATGCAAAAAACAAAGCAATCGTAATGGTTTATCACGATAACCACGAGCAAGAAGAGAATGGCCACGAAATTTAAAAGCAGACATGTTCGTGAGCGACTCTAAATGAAGAAGAAAAAGAAGCCGCTATCCATGAGTTGTGTTGGCTCTATATAAAGTAATTTGGATAATAAAGTTTGGCTATGCTAATGACTAAAATAAACCAAATATGAAGCGTCTAAAGCGAGTCAAAGCTGGCCCGATTTAATTCCCACAGTCAATTGAAAACTGTATGCAAACAATATCGATGACTTTATATCATTAATAGCGATAAATGACAACCATCACATACAGGATTAAAGTAACTCGTAAGGCTAGGTTGGACCCGCATGGAAAACAAATAAGTTTGAGTCTCATATCTGTAAAACCCTTTTGAAGAGTAGCACAAGGACAAAGTTTTAATCTTCTTCTTGGAAAGGCATTTAAAGACTGTTCCAACATCAGTGGCGTAAATTGAATTTTTCAGTGTAGAAATGCTTTTAGCAGCTCGCCATTAAATACATGTCTAGGACATAGTTCTTAAGTGTATATATCAATACGTGCTTCACGTGACTGCGAGCATGATCAGAACGCACTCATCAAAAAATTAGAAGCTTTTTCATGATAGAAAAACTCGGTGAGGCAAATCACCAAAAAGTATGATGATTTATCGTTTTTACTTCTCCTTTTTCCTAAAGAGACATTAATAAAACCTTGTTTTTGTTTCATTCCTGCAGAACGTTGCTAATGGTTACCTGAACACAGTTTTTGCTGGTAGAAGCAATTTTTATCCGGCGGCGTACGAAATGGCAAGCAACCGGTACATCAGGATAAACACGAGTAACGAAAGATCGGCAGTGATAACAACAGCATAGTACAAACATGTTCGTGAGAGAAGAAAAATTGAGAAGCCGCCAGGCGTAAGTAGTGTTGGCTTTTCGTCTGATAGGTAGTATAAAGTGATTTGAGTTTGTAATGGCTCTAACAAACCAATTATGTAGCGCATTAAAGGAAGTTAAAGCTATATTTCCAATTGATTCCCACACTCAAATAAAAAACTGAGTGAAAGTAATATCGACAACATTATGTTATTGGTTAACAATATATTACAGCCATTATAAGCAGGATTAATGTTATTGGAGAGCCTGAGTTGTAGGAATTGTGAAATAAGACGCAACATTGAAAACCAGTAAGCAAGAGTTCTATTCAGGCAAAAAATAATTGAAGAACAGTATACGGCCAAAGTAGCTTGACCCGATATTTTATTCACTGCTTGGAAGGACCAGAAATTCAAAGACTACCCCAACATCCTGACGTAAACTGAATTTACAGTGTAAAAATGCTCTTAGCAGATACTACACATGACTACTGAGCATGATTAGAACGCACGCTCAACAACAAATTGGAGGCTTTTCTATGGTAGGAATAACAAAATGATTGAAATCACCTTTCTGGTTTAAAATTGAGAGATGATGATTAGTAAACGAACAAAATTTTAATTAACCCCTTTCGAAAGACATTTTAAGAATATTACAGTATTTCGAAGTAAATTGAATTTTTCATTGTGGAGACGCTTACAGCAGATCTCCCTCGTATATGTACACATGATTTAGTGGTGTAGTGTGCATCGATGCTACACGTGATTTCGAGTAATAACTTCCTTCCTTCCTGCAAAACGGCTACGTCAATTTAAAGTGCAGGATGTAAGAAATTAGACAAAAACGTGTCCTAATTTTTCCTGTTGAATGTTATCGGTGGTTATCCGCACGCAATTCTTGTTGATAAGAACAATTATGTAGAGTAATCCCAAAGGTATATCACGATAAACATGTGTTAAAAAACAAGGCGATAAGAGCCTCAACCAGACATAATCGTTAGGGTCTCTGGGCGAAGGAAAAGAAGCCACTAGAGGTTGATACGGTTTTTATAATGACTTTGATAGACCAATTATGTAGCTAATTAAACCAAGGAAAGGCTATTTCGAATTAATTTCCACCCTCAATTCAATACTGTATGCAAACAATATCGATAACTTTATGTAATGATTAAATGATGGTAAATGAAAACCACCATAGGGTAAATGAAACTCGATAAGCTGATTTGTAAAAATTTAGAAGCAAGATTCTTATTGAACGGAAATAGGCCTGACTCATATTCATGAAAAAATATATGAGCGCATATGAGGAAAAGAAGCCACTAGAGGTTAACAGTGTTGGCTTCGCGTCTGATCTGTGGGATAAGGTGATACGGCTTTAATAATGACTTTGATAAACCAATTATGTAGCTCTGATCAAACCAGGGAAAGGCAATTTCGAATTAATTCTCACCCTCAATTGAAAACTATTCGAACAATATCGATAACTATGTAATGATTAAGTGATGGTAAATGAAAACCACCATAGGGTAAATGTAACTCGATAAGCTGAGTTGTAAAAATTTAGAAGCAAGATTCTAATTGAAAGCAAATAGGCCTGACTCATATTCATGAAAAAATACATGAACATACTAAAGAAAAACTAAGTAAGGCTGTAGAGGGGCTAACGCTCGAAACGTCAGCTTTAAAAACTCTGTACTGTGGCTAATTTAGATTACGAATTCAGTTGATTTAATCAAATTATCTTGTAATACCCCTCATCGACGTGGTTCACAGTTTCGTAAGAAGCTTACCCCCTCTGTCCATTTGTAGTTTAGGCTGATATTTAATTAATGCCTTGGGAAGACATCAAATAGTGTTCCAACATCCCAGCGTAAATTGAATGTTTTTCATCAGAAAAATGCATTAAAAAGATCGCCCTTATGCATTTCATGTCGTATTGAAGCGTGCATCAATACCAAGTATGAGTTGAGGCATGATCAGCACGTGATCAACGACGAAATGGCGGCTTTTTCTTTTTGGAAGGATAAGACAGGTAGGTTAGATCATAAAAGAGTTTCACAATCCATCTATTTTCTTCAGTTTCTGAATCAAGACATAACTTTCTCTGTATACAATGACCTCGCCATTTCGCTCCGCTGTAAAGGAGAGTAAAAAACGTAAAATTGGTAAGAGTTCGTGACATTGTGAAAGTAAAGAGTTACATGTTTTGGCTTTTCTTAAACGAGAATACGTAAGCTCCCGTTTTTTGTTTCAGGGGGATCGCCATCAATAAACGTGACTTCGTACCAAGGCTTTGTGGGCTTGCTCTGACACGACGAATGACGAAGTGCCAATGCTCGAAACGCCAGCGTTGAAACTCAAAACGGTGGCCAATTTACATTATCAACTCAGCTGATAAAATCAAATTATCTTGTAATAGCCCTTATCGACCCAGCACCACATGCAGAGCTCCCGGTTCACAGCAACGTTTTCTCGACAGCTAAGAATTTTATCACCACATTGTATACTAGAATCAACAGCGATCAAGAAAGAACTGAAATTGTCCAAATATATATCAGAAAGAGCAAAAGGCCAAATACAGAGCCTTAAACTGACATGTGCTACAGATTGTAAAAGTCCTTCCAGATTTATGCAGACCTAGTATTATCGTCTGCATTTGGCCTGTAGGATAAGACGAGAGCCAAATGTATGTGACTTTGTGAAAACTATAGTGATATCATGACCATATATGAAAATAAAATTTTATTACCAACTTTTTTAAACGAATTGTTAAGATCAGTAAAATTGTTACGGGAAAAGAGGCGTTTGACTGTATTATTATGTATAACATGTTACGCTATCAAGCGTCGGAGGAACTTGCTGTGGACTGCACCATGAACGCTAATCGAAAGGCACCAAGGAGTCTCGAACTGCCTTTTTCTGCTTAATCTAATTATTCCATTTTTCCAGTACACAATTCTACTTACATCCAAGTCCTCTTCATTCTGTGTAACTCAGGCTAATCTCTTGGGCTCTCACACTTTGATTCTCACTGGATACTTCTTAGTTAAGACGCTAAACGCTCGTTTAAACCACGGAATTCTTTCTTTACTCTTCTGCACACTATCTACATTTTTCTAGTATACTCTATAATCACTATTGATAGATATGAGCATGTCAGTTGACTGACTTCGGGAGATTAAACATTTGTTGTTAGAACACTACTGAAATAACTTCGGACTATGAATTCATATAATAACTACATTCTAGTTATCATCAAGTAGGTTTTTATTAGTCACGCTGTTAAATAACATATCCAAAAGAGAAATGTAATCATTTGTCTCGTGATGTGGTCACTTTGGATGTGGATGTACGTTCTAAATATAGACGAAAGACGATATCAAATTGAACCGACCGACTAACTGAATATAACTAACTGACTAGACTTAGTGAATACTTCATTACAAACATTTACAACATCGAGAATTACATGCGGAGTAGAATGCACTTTGCAAAAACCATATTGCGATGTAGAAAGCAACTTAGTTTGTTCGATGAATAACTGCTTTCTTTTGTAAATCAGTATCTTGAAAATCATTTTAGAACTCGAGAACGACTGAGGAGTTATAAATGTAGGTGAATCATCTGCCTTAAAAGTTAGAATAATATTTCCCATATTCCACTATGATGGGTAAATACCAGATGAGACCGACCAATTTATCACTTTTGCTCAACCACTGCTAGATGTATTTGACAATCATTTTAATAACTGGGCAGGGCATGAATTTAACTCGTGTCATTTGTTTGTGGGCACACAGTCAGATATTCCCAGAGCTACCTCTTCACGAGTAACTGGCAACTAAGACCAATGAAGAAAATAATAGTTTTGTTTTGGACTCGGCAAGTTGGCTCAAAAGAAGCAAATTGCTCATTGAGGATATTGGCTAACCTATCCTGAGGATGTCTTGCATGGAAAGCTGCGGAAGTGATTACGTTCTGATTATGTTCTGTCGATTTACCAGTGACACGCACGAAAATTATTTTTCAATCTTATTCGGTGCTTTAAAAAAGCAGAATATAACCTTCAGATTTCTTTTTCGTCGAGACGAAAAGTCCTACCATTTACTGAAGTCTCCTGAAACGATCAGAGACAACGGTGCCTATATATTGAGTTTTAAGTAATAGCCCGCCTCAAACACAACACTACGTGACCAAAACAAGATTGTCGGTTTTTACAACCACGCGCTCTCGTTTTTGTCAATTACAGTGGAGAACGATATCGATCTGACACCTATAAGTGACAAACAGGAAGAATTTAGTGCGCAAACTCATAACGTGACATTTCCACTTAAGGTGGATATTTTACTCCTTTCTTTGGACCTTGTATTTGACCATGTTTCCATAAGCGAATAACAATTTATTTAACCTGATGAACACTTCAGTGAGATATCCACTCTTTGGAGAGGAATTATGACTGAGATTTGACAGTATTTTCATGGGAGCAGGTGTATTTATCATCTTATTAACCTTGACGACGAAGAAGGAAGACAAAAAATGATTGGCGTCATTAGATTTGTTGCCCACAAGGGAATTCCACTAAACACTTGAGAAACTGAGTTGTGTCGAGAATGTTCCACATTAAATCTCAAGAAGTCTTGCGGTTTGATTTTTTTTAATCAACTTTGCTATTCACTGATTTCAAAAAGCAAAAATGCGATCAAAGATGGCTAGTATCAGTTGCAGTAGAGGAAAAGAGACCAAGGACGAAAAGGAACACTGAACCAACACAGGCTGATTTCTGCTGCCCGTAGTCCCACAGATACTGAAGGTTCAAGCTGACCTTGCTGCTCACAAGAGAGCTTGCTGGTGAACTTAATGCTCAGCATGCTTCAAATCTTCAATAAAGATATGTTAAAGAGATGTAAAATAAGGTGAAAGTGTTTCGACTATTATCTCACTGTGAACATCGGATACGATGGATAATCTTTGTAGAAATATCAGAAATTAAAGATGTCAATTATATAAATTTGTTATTATACGATTATTAAAGAAAATATTATCAAAAAGGGAATAAGAGGTCGTTTTAATTGCTTTAAACTGTGGGAAGAGGGTAACAACTATGGAAACTGTAGATGAAAAGTCACGGCTTAAGTGTTTCATGCATAGAAGACGACCAAGGTTGAAGGCGATCCCTCTGACGAAGGGTTAATGCCCGAAAAGTCAGCTTTTAAACTCTTTATGGTGGCCAATTGACGTTATCAACTGTGGTGATAGCACTAAGTTATAAGGTTAAAGGCACCCATCACTATGATACGTTTCCCAAAGGAAACATATCTTTGAATAGTTTCGTCAACATAATCTTAAAGCCCGCTAAAGTTTGCAGCCTGAAGATAATGGCGCAAATAAGATTTTCCTCATCAGAAATAGCAATCACGATCCATAAAGAAAAATAGGCTTTAGTCGAAGTTTCACTTAGCTGTGAAGGAGATCTTGATCGTAGATGAATCTGATTAACTTTATCGAGGCTCATCGGCTTGACGAGCTTCAGATGCATGGAAAGGATCCACCTAGATGTAGGCAGCTGAGTCAGCCGTTGAATTTGAGCGAATTCCTACCCTTGAGTCTGTTTTTCGTAGGAAGACAGCCGAATTCTTCACGTGCACAGCGCTGCTCCTGGCGGAACTGATTTTGATCATTTTTGGCTGCATGCAACAACTACTGAAATCTCGGGGTTAATTACCGCAAAATCACCTGCATTCGTTTACACTCCATAGATGAGGGCAGGCCCAAACCTTCCGTCGTTGCCTTATTTACTCTGATTTTTTTGCTGCCAATACACTATCCCTTACCATCCTTCCCGCTAGTTTGCAGAAATTCAAATTGGGATGTCTTCAGCGGCCGCCCTGTGCACCTTCCAATTTGTTGTATTTATGCCTTGAAAATCTAGGAGTAGTGTACTTATCGTTAATAGTAACATTAAGCCTCAGCCATTGTTGCGACTTCATCAGCACGTATCAATAGTGGGATTCTTAAGTTCAGTGGAGCTAAAGGTAACTTAAGTTTCATGATGTACAAGTAGCTCTCCTCCATAATTTCATCGATCGCTTTTTGAATCTTGAATACTTTTGGTTATTATCTCAAGCCTACTCGAAAACATTTACAATCCTTGATGCATGTCGACTTTGGCGTGCGATTCATTCGCAAAGGGCTCTTTGAAATCTCAAAAGTGCCCAGTTATCCGCCAGCAATTTGTGAAAATACATAGGTAAGTAGCTGTCCAAAAGAGATCCAACCACATACTACTTCACTCTACTTCACCAAGAGCATTCCTAATAAAACAGTTTGTGAAAAAATCATCAGACTTATTATAATGCCCGACATGTTTTATGCTGTGCGTTCGATGATCCAAACCAAAAGCCTCCACGACATTATACTGTCGCCTATAAACATCTGTGCAGCTTCCTTTGCAGAAGTAGGGTTTAAAATAAAATAATAATGGATTAATTTTTATTGTTTTTTGGCTAGAAACGAATTCCTTAAAATTTTCTAAAGCTTCACGCGCCCTTGTGCGAAGGAGGTGGTTGCATGTAAATTTTAACCTTGACTAAAGCAACGTTATATATTATTCTTTTGTGCGTCTGCGTAAAGATGTGCACGTCGGTATGTTGTACGCAAGCCCAGTTGGTGCCATCGAGTGTTTGTCATCAAATTTTTTTTCACTTGCTCAGCTTTATTTTTCCCGCCTCAGTTTTTTTCCCGGCACGACTTAATTTAAATTTCCAGCATGACTTCAACTATCCGGCACGACTTAATTAAACATTGCGGCGCGACCTAAACTTTCTGGCACGACTTCAACATTCCGGCACGATTTTAACATTCCGGCACGACTTTAACATTCCGGCACGACCTTAATTTTCTAGCTCTTAAGACAAAGAAACGAAAGAAGTGTATTACTAACAGTTTTATTATTTTATGTAACACTGACTCTGTATTTCTATTCAAATTATTTACATTTAAATATCATATCCATGATTTTCCATGTATAATTATAATTTTCAAAACATTTTCATATGCAAGCAAAGCTTTCTTTCATTATCTTTTTTATTTTTATCTTTCGTTAAGAGTTATATCCAGGCCTTACTCTGGTTGGTCCTTTTATTAGTATAGCCTTGGGTTTTTGTTAAGTTTAAGAGCAGTGTCCCATGATAGATCTAGAAGAACACCATGGTTAAACTACATTAAAATCTTGTTGTTTTTTTTTTTGTTTTGTTTTGTTTTTTTTTTTTTTAAAGTTCTTGGTTCCTTGCCAACAAAAAAAAAGGGAAAGCTTGCGGGCTGCCTTCCCTCTATTAAGTAATTTATTAGACGCCAAATGTAAGTGATAAGCAATTTAAATAATTATCGATTAGCAGCTGCACTCCTTGAAGTTAGAATAGATATAAGCACCATTATACTAGTGGAAAAAAAAGATGAAATGACGACCGAACTAAGGAGGGAGGGGAGTGGATGAAAGCCTTTAGACCCACGTTTCTTCAAGCCACTGCACCTCCCCTCCGTTTCTCTTGCTCTCGTTGTTTTGTTTTGCTGTCCCATCAAACAGGAGATTATTTGGGATATAAACAACTAGACATTGGCGATAGGTGTAATCCACCATCAGCGCTAGAGTGAATAGAAAAGGTTACTCCCTCTTTCTTTACTTTTGTTTTTAAGGAAGCAGGCCGGCTCACTCACTCAGGTGAGCAAGAGCACTTCCATTTCCCGGACACTACTACTACTTCTTTTCAGTCTTTCTAAAGCTCTATCGGTTCGTCATAATCCCGAGAAGAGTCCAGTGAAGCGCTAGCATCACTTGGTTCCTTAGTTCCTTCTACTTTGAGTTCCTCAGGGACATTATAAACATGTTCCTTTACACTGCTAGACCTATTTCTTTCTCCGTGTTCGATGTCACTTGGTAAAGGTTCCTCCAAAATCTTGTAAAATGGGTACTTGCCAATTTCTTTGCTTTTAGGATCACAATTGTCGCCTTGTTGGCAGGTCACTGTATCCAGGGGCTCTATGGTGTTATAAAGTCGTTGTTCCACGCTTATGGGAGGCTGCATTGCGCTTCCTTCTTCATTGGGGCCGTCTAATGTGTTTGTGTTATCAAGAGGCTCCACGAGGTTGTACACACGTTGCTCCACACTCAAGGGTACCTGGCTCTCTTGAGCCCCTTCCTGGGCAACATCTCCGTGAGGGCCGTCCGAGGTGTTCACATCAAGGCCTTCAATGACGTTGTACACACGCTGTTCCACGCTAAGCGGAGACTGTGCTTGACTCACTTCATTGGAACAATATTCATACGACCCGTGAGGTGTGCTTGTATCAAGGACCTCGACTAGGTTATACACGCGTTGCTCGACACTTAGAGGCCTCACCTTTCTGGGGCTCTCTGTTATGGCTGGGTCTTGGTACTCATCCACAGTGCTATAAATTGGTTCTTCTCCATCAAGCGTATTTATTCCGCCCATGGTACTGGGAATGTTATAGGCTGAGGCATAGGTAGCTAAAAAAAAAAAGCAATTGAAAACTTTAATTTTTCAGCGCTCTTTTGCATATATTTGCTCTCTGATGCAAATAGGAAAAAAATTCTGAAACAGAACATACTGCAGGTCCGCGGGATTTAAAGGATATTGGTATACCCTATTTTTCTGTACGAATAGACCTAAAAAATGCAGAATTGCCTCTGTTGACTCGTATCTACACACCCAATATTGACGAAGAATGTGATAATTTATACACGTATTATAATGAGTAATACCGAATACCTGAGAAAAAACGACCCTGGATACCTGAATTACCCAGACTTGCAGCGTTCCTTAATACCGAGTGATGATTATGCAGATTTAATGCTAGAAAGCATGGGAAATATGGCTCGACGAATCTAATTTGAATAATTTTTTAGGTTTATTTACCCTGCACGATAAGAGCACTTAAGTCAATCATTATCGTGCGCAACTTCGCGATTAACTAGAGAATGCTATCCTTTATTTGTAAAAAAACAATCTTTAAGATTAAAATTTTACTGTCTAAATTGTAGCCCTGGGATCAATCAGCCTCTTGAAACTGCGATCAGACAGTTACGTGTGCTTACAACACTAACCACTCTCCCCTCCCACCTTGTAGCAAGATCGTGGATCGATCAAAATAAAACGTAAATATTCTCGATTATATCCAGCAGTTCATACTTACTGGTTGTACAATGGCTCAATGAAGCATAGCTTGCATCCTTTTCACCACGCTCAGAGTCTGGGTTTGAATGGGAGCTGTGCTCGTCAGTGTCCCAATAAAGGTGATTTCTTTAAGAAAAGTTCACGAAAAAATTACATGTGAGATATATTCAGTCTCGAAAAATCCTTGACTTCTTTCAATGTATTTGTACAAATCGTAGCTCCATTTTTTGGGCTGTATTTCAAATCTAGTTTTACGTAATTTGTGTGGAAACCTTCTATGTATTACTGTAACCAGAAAAGGATGACTCACCGTGCACAATTACGTCGATAAACGAACGTTCCAACGATTACAAAAAGGAGACTGAGTGAGATGGTCAGTCCGACGATGAGAAAAACGGATAAATCGTCCAGGCGTTTAGTCTGTTTACCAGCGGAGGAATCTGGGGGTGAAAAGATCTGGAGACGAGAAAACATTTCGTAAAATCAGCGCAATTAAAGATTCAATATTGATGAACAAAAAAATAAAAGAACGACACGGTTTGGGGATTTTTTTGATAGATTATATACTAGAATAAGTTTTACAACGAAATTAGCTCAGTTCTTATTAACAATAAAAGTCACACAAAGAGACTGTTTCAAGAAGTTTTGAGTACAGCCCATCCCTGTATAAGGGGAAATTCAAATGGCGCTCTCGTAATGTGGGACTGAGCCTCAAACGCTTAGGAACAAAGAAATTCAGTTTATGACACTTTTTGTTGATAAAAACGAAACTAATGTCAATCTTCTGGTTTCTAATTGTGGTGCTACATACGGGTATTTTTCCTCTTAATCTTTGGCGACAATACATATTCTGAGAAGTTTCATTTTTCTCGACTTTGTCCGCGACGAAGTTTGTGTCAAATTTTTTTTAATTGAAGTCAGTCTCTTGTAATAGCAACACGATGAAACGGATGGTAACAACATCCATAACAATTCCTAATAATTTCCCACTTTCATTACGCAGCATCCCGTTTCTCTCTAATGGTCTTCGAAGTTTTCAAACGGAAAGTATGCAGCATATGAATTAGGCACGTGCGATTCCCGCAAATTGGTTTGTGCTTTTGTACGATGGCAATTAAGTGGAGAAAAGCAAAAACCAATATTCTACGACAAGTTTTTAACGCTGCTTTGTCAGGGTTTGAGAAGAAATTGCTTGACTTAAAAATAATTTCCCACTCTTTTGCAGGAAATACCTGAGCCTGTGATGTAGCAACTGATGGAACTACCTCTTTAGAAAGTGTCTCGACTGCTGTGGGTAAAGGAGTCGTCTCCGGTGTTCCTGCCACGGGACCTGAGATAGAAATGTTTAATGAATATGATGGACCTTTTCGTGAGGACGAAAGGATGCAAACATCATGGGTCGGTTAATTAAATATACTTTAGCCATTGTTTAACCAAACGTGTCGTAAACAATCCTCACTGATTTAACTGGACCATTTATTAACACTTATTTTTGTGAACAGTTTCAAAAGGGCCGAAAGCTAAAAGTGGAAGGACAGTCGTTAAATTAAATGAACCGCCTTATGTAAAAAGCCTGAAGTCCGCTGCTAACGTAAAAGCGTGGTTTGGGTTAGACCTCGTGCATGCAAATAACCGACCTCGTGAGTGTGTCACGTTGAGATATTTAAGTCGTCCTTTAGCTCCTATAGGTAAAATGCATTTTTGCCTTCGCCAATTCTGTTTGATATGCCAGAAATAATGTTAAGGGAGCTTGAATTTGAGCAGAAAAAAAGCAAAAATTACACTTATTTCTGTCTTATTTCAGCCGTTTATTCACTGAAGTGGTCATACCGATTGTTTGCGGGCGTTATTAACAACAGAGATTTTACCAATTTTTTATCATCGGAAATGTGAGAAAAAGGTGGATTTATCTTTACCGTTTGAAGTTTGCTATAAACTTCTTAAGCTTCTATGTTTTGTCTACTTAGGTCAGGTCTCACAGGAATTCCAAGCTTTATCTTTTTTAAATTATGCGCAGCTAAAGAAGTCTATCACAGTTGCTCATGACAACATGGAGGAAGGTTTGTCTAGCTTGTGCAGTGTTGTGGAGACAGAGATATCAACACGTACATCGTATTGCAGCTGCACTAACACAACCCACACGTTCATGAATGCAAGATATCTTGTCAAGAACTCGGAAGTTTTCGGTCAGTTACTAAGGTAAGATATTTGTCGTGCGTTTCTCTCGATCTATACAATACTCAATTGATTTATAAATACTGTATTTACTTTAAGAGCGCCGCACTGGAATAACTGATATTACAGGAGTGCAGCTTTTTATCGGAATTATCAAGTTTCGTGCGTAATTAACAACGCGGTGGCTAATGATCCTCTATTCCGAACTGATTACTAGATTGTTTTTGTTCTATTTTAGCGTTGTTTATCTCTTTTATTATTGCTCAGTGTTATGTGCATTTCGAAAAAGATGCATTGTTTTTTTACCTTTTGAAGTCTTGCTGTGCTCGAACAAAACAAAGAAGCAGAAAAAATACAAAGGACTCCTCTGACAAGTTTAAAATCGAAATTCTTTTCCAGCGGCGCGGAGTTCCTCCGAGTAAATACGGTAATAGAATATTGGACCACGCTTTCGTCAAAAAAATACTTAATTTGTTACTGAAAAACCAGAAAACAAATTATTTTTCGAAGACGAAGGTAAAAGTTATTCCGTAAGCTGACCTGATCCTTTTAGCAAACATATCATAAAATTCGAAAAGTAATCTTATATTCCTAAACGATAAATTTTATCATGGATTTATCCGCAAGTATTCAACTAGAAAAACGAGTCCGATATCAGTTCAAAATAACCTGGATTCGTGACGAATCCGGGAAAATCGGCTTTACTGTAAACCTATTCTAGTTCACGGAGGTCTGATGGTTTCCATTATCGATTTTATATTGTTCGTAGGCGCGTGTTTTCAGTTTATCGCGTCATTATTTCACCCAATGAAAACAAGTGGGAAAACTAGTACCGTGTAACTAGAAACGCCTTGAATCTTGAAGCTCTGGATTTTTTCCATGTTAGTGCAAATAAATTTTCCAAATGATTCATGCGCCCCATTCATTTACCCCCCTGATCAATTCAAGGTCATTGAAACTAATTGTCTAAGGAATCGTTTGTAGTACCTAATTGATACTTAATTTCGTGGATACTTAGTTTAACGAGGATTGATTTTCGCGATTTCATTAGGCTAATAACTAAAGGGGCATTAAATTTCGCGATTCAAGCGTTCTCGGCTTCATTATAGTTTTTAATGTATTAATTTTGGACAACTCCAACGAAGAAATCCGGCGGAATCTGTACGAGTTCAGATAAATTCGATTGAGAGATTTTCTACTCCATATACAAACTCTTGCAAAGTTGCATGATCCGAAACGGAACTTAGCAATAAGACCAGTTGATAATTTGTGTACTTGTCGATACATATCTTGTGTTGTTACTACATGTTGGTCATTTCGTTCTTTGATCTGAATTTTCAATTGGAGATTAAATTTCGCGAGGATTGTTATTCATGGGTCTTTAATTTTGCGATTTTTTAACAAGTTGAAAACCCGCGAAATAAGGCACCAAGAAGGTATCTATTATAACATTTAGATATGAGCAACTCACATGATGTGCTTCCTTGCAATTTGAACAGCAGGCAACCGACGGTGGTTGAGAAATCAGGTCCTTTGCACTCTAGTTTAAGTTTCACAATGCCTCCATCGTTTCCTGATGAATATTTAATCTATTTGAAAACAAAAAACAAGGATATTTGCTGGATCATTTACCCAAGAAGATATTTACGAATTTTTAAAATCAAATTACACAGTTAAAGTACATAAATTGTTGTTACCTCAAGCTCATTCACAGTCACACTAGATTGAGAATCTCCTTTACTCTGAATTTGTGCTCTCATAGCGGTTGCCCCAGAGACCCCTTTTCCGAGGCACTTGATGTATGAAGAATCTTGCAAGTTTATGGTGCAACGCCCTGCCCTCCACTTCAGTTCTTCGTCGTCATCATATTTCAGCGAATTCAGTTGGGTTGCATTGTCTTCATTGTCAAAAAACATACCGCAGCCTTTGTTTAAAGAAAAAAAACATAAAGTTGATTCCGTTTAAATTTGTTTTTCTCTTTCAAGAGTCAGAGGTAAAGGGTATAGGAAAAAACAATTCTACAGGGCGTTTAATTAGGCTCAAAAGGCGATTTTTAAGAGAACAGTTTTTCGAAGAATAAACTTCACTGATAAGTTATTACGATTAAAACTGAAAGTAAATGTAACTTCATACAACAACAATTTCAAAATAGCTTTCCTAAAAAGAATTGATAAAATTGCAATGTTCGGAAGCTCAATGGTTGAAAAAGAATGACTTGCTTTTTGGGGCTTCCTTGGCGCTCAAGGGGAAGACCAAGATACATAATTTCCTGAAAATTGTAATCACTCTTTCCCGCTTTTCTAAAGAATTTACGCCGAAAGCGTTCTGAGGACGTTTGCGTCAAAGAACTGATAGTTGGAAAAACAAAAATTCAGTTATGACAGCTAATGAATTCTTAACATTTTTCAGCATTACTTAGCGGAAAAGTGGCTCGAAAAATTAAAGCAAAGAATGAAGCACGATGATCACAGATACGTAATTAAAATATTATTTCATAGACAATTGAAATTTTGGCATTTAGCACATTTTAGTACATGATGAACAAAACCATGTTGTGATCCAATTGTTTAAATTAACTCTAAGATAACATGAGTAAGGTATACGTGCTTTAGGCCATTTTTCTTCACTCATTGTTTAATTTTCTAGAACGACAATATTACAATTAGAAGAACATGATACTAACCAAAAGACGCTCTCGTCTCATTATTTTTCCGGCAAGACCAGGCATTGTTTCGAAATTCAAACGTTGATGAGCTTGCGTCACACACACAATCGCATGGCGTCTTCTCTCTGTCTTTCTTTGCGTTGTACTCGGCACAATAATCAAAGCTTTGGTTCGTCGAGTCACATTTTGATGGCGGGATTTTAAAAGAGTCTCTTGAATCTCTGGTGATTTGAAACCCTTCCGTAGAACATGAAGCAGACTCCAGCGAAAACAGACAAACTAGTACTAGCAATTCAACAGCGACTAAAATTTTTGAATCCATACCCGGCACGGAGCTTTTTCCCACAGATTACAACACAGCAGCAATACACGAAATCTGATGAGCTTCGTTGGCTCTATATTAAAAGTAACTCAAGCCAAGCGTAACCATGAAATGTAAATCAGAGCGTGAAAAGTTGAAATCTTCCCTTCGAAGATTGAATTTATCGCAACTAAATGTTCTGGACGGATTCGGCAACGTTCCTCTACTAGGAAATGCTCATATTGAACTTTGGCGGTTAAGTATGTTCTCCTGTTTCAACAAGTTTGATATTAGCTTCCTCGAGAGCACTATTTATTAGCAAATCACAACATTTATGACTATTTTGGCCAGGATTTACGTAAGACACTTCACTTTCTATTCTTTTGTGATATTGCATCTAAGTAACCGCAAAAGAACACGACATCCTTGACTTCCTCTAGCAACGGAAAAAACATCAGTCTGAATTTTGAAAAGTACTCCTAACTTGGTAAAGTTTCTATTCTACCATACTCTACTTTCATGAGCAATTACTCACCAAATTTACGGTAATTTTAAAGACTACTAGATTTTAAATATAATTCATGTTCTTTGAAAAGCTCTTACTTTTAAAAATATTGTAATAAAGCTCCTTCTGAAGTAAAACACTGATATTTATACTTCGGTGAGTTTCTTACGCTCTACTCCACAGTGTCTCCCTTTCAACTTGTCAATAGAATTGGCGGTTTTTTAAACGGATGTCCAATCGTCCTCTTTCATATCAGAGAGATTTTGAAAAATTTATACCATTTTTTCTGACATGTATATGCCTATTTATCCTTCGATGTGTCAAAGATGCTTGTGAAAAGCTATTATATTGTCAAAAATAATTAAGGATAGGGTACCTCGCCATTAATTCGCCAGTTAATAGTATTTCTTTGGTAGCCAAAGCAATTTGATAATTTCACTCGACTATTTTACCCTTTTTGGGGTTGCTTTGGTCGAATTGTGAAGGGAAATATCAAACTCTATAGTTGCAAGGACAGATACGTGCAAAGAGCATTATTTTAGGCCATGACTATGACATATTCGAGAGAAGAGTTTTCCTTCCAAAAAAAAGTGGATATTGAACCACAAAGTCCAAGCTGAACTTTCTGTTTCGATCGCAAAATGGAGGAAATAGGAAAAATAAAGAGGCTATGTAACTGATTCCTCAATGGAAAATTCCCTGTCCGTTCGGCCAATTGGTTTGTCTCAAAGATTATTATCTTCAGTAACTTCTATCGATAAATTTCAAATGCTCATTAATACTAATGTGTGTTATTGAATATGTCGCCATTGACGTAAAAGGCAAAATACTTACCCTTTTCCCAATCTCGACGAAATATTGTGATGTCTGGTGTATTATTGTTTTGCTTTATTTCAGTTTTCAATGTTTGGGGGGAATAACCTATGAGATTGGTAAAAAAATAGTTATTAAATTAGTCGAGAAATCAGCTAAATTTCGGTCGATGTGCGAAAATTTGATCGTGACATTTTTTATTTGTCATTCCGTTTTAAATGCTAAGACACGATTTCCGGAGCGAAACTTTCAAATTTCAAAAGAAAACTTCCACAAAGAAAATTCTGCCCAAAATCCAAGTCATTATTCTTTATTTCCTTTTCCGCGGTCAGGCACCTTATTGTTTTGCAGTCTACACTGTTATTATCATTTATAATAATTCTAATAATTGTGATATAGAACTGTGATTACCAATGCCTAAATGATCTCAAAAATGATACATTGCTTCAGCTTGCCAAGTGAAAAGTCCTTATATTGCGAAAAATATTTGAAAGCGTCTAGATATGGTAACTTTTGTAGGGAAGGTGCTTTAAGCCCTCTGAAACGAATAAATACACGGGCTCGTACTGAGTCCCTCTCGAATGCACTTAAGAGTACTTGTCACGTACTATATTTAGTCTTTTTCTTCATCTATTTATACATATTTATTCTCAAAGAACGAAAATAAAAAATGACGTTTCCTTTTCTTTATAAAGCACGTTAACCCACGAACCAAAATTCCTGTCCACTGTGGAAAAAAATACTCGATGAAACACTCCCTTTACGAGAAAAAGAGCCTAGGAAAGGTTTCAAAAAGAGGTAGATTTTAGAGGACAATAATTCTAAGACTTACTAATTGTCAATATCAGTGTCTTCTGAGCCCAAATGGTTACAATGTTGCACTGTCATCGTTGGAATATTGGTTCAATTTATAAAAGGGTCGCGAATCATTTTGTCTTTTTCCTTTTTACGTTTTTGTTATGTTTCTGTTTTGGTGTGTTTTGTTTTTACTCTTCTATTCGAAAAAAAAAAGCTTTCCTAAATTTTGGCTCGGAGTTAAATTGATGCCAAACACAAAACCGATAATGACTTTAGCAGTTCTCACTTTTCCAGTTTCATCCATTTTAATAGCTTCTCCCCCACCAAGAAACTATTTTCTTGCCTCACTACTAACCCCCCACCCTCCCCCCCTAGATAACTACTCCTCTCCCTCTCCTTTTCTCTGTTTACCGCCCCTCGCGTCAAAGATAGAAAGAACCTGCTGGATTTTATTTTTTATCATTTTATTTCTCGAATATATTTACTGTTGAAATGCTTTCGAATTGAAACGTAATGATGCCAAGAGCACACGGCATCTGAGAGTAAATTTATTAACCTTTCATGTATGTATGCAAATGTAAAACCTGAACAATAATATGTTCAAATATTCAAAGCTGTTTGTCCCAAAACATGCTTAGATTCTATTCAATCAAAATTCATGAAGATTCGTGCAATCTGAGTCAAACAATGAAGGTTGTACATGAGTGAAGACCCCAATGTTGAATTTGATGTAAAGACCACCACCCAGTTTCTGAACGAAGAGAATATTGAAGGCCTAAAGGACGAAATAAATTCGAGTTATTCCAGACAACGGTGAGTAGAAAAGTTCGCGCAACTATCTCAAAGCTGTAGTTAAACTCTGTAAAGAAGGCCTTAGAACCATGATTAGCTCGTGCATTGGTTGAAAGTGCTAGTTTGTTCGTCGAACGCCAGTTCTTCGTTCTAGTTCGGCTAATGTTGCATCATTCTACAAAATTTTGGTTCTCAAAGTAACATTGTACGACACTAATGCATTTTTACTTTGCGCAATGAAATCCTGAAAATTTTGCAGCACGCGTGCAACTCAGTGGTCGCTTGAAGTCAACTAATACAAGAGTGCAAAATGTCCTAGGTTATGTATGCATTTCAAGCAAAGTTTCAAACATTCTAGATGTCTTAAATGAGCCGTTTAGCCAAAAGAAAGGTGGTTTTCAGCTGGAATTTTCCATTATTTACAGGTTTTGCTCATTTGGAAGAGCAAGAGAGGAAGAAGACTGAGGCAGGAATTCAGTGGAATCATCTGAAGCTTCAAACAGTGGTTGAGGAGAAGACAACAAGAGATAAGACTTATTGCAATACACTGTATATGTTCCGTGAAAATGGTGGTTTGATAATCAAGTGCTTAAAATATCGTCGTTTTATTTAACTACGTCTTCCTCCTGAACTGAAACTCCTCTGCTTTTGATATTGGAAAGAAATCAATCAAAGTGAAATTAGCAAACTGGCAAAAGAACCACCATTTTCTCACGGGATAATTTTCGTCAATTTACATGGCATTTGTTGTTTTCTTCCCTGAAAAGGAGCAGTGGAAAAAATTTGAATTATTATTAATTTTTTTTTTCATCTTTCCTTAAATTTTAGAATTTAATTGATTAAGATTTTTCTATCGAAAATAAGTTTGTATTTGTCCCAGATAATGTAAAATATTTCGGTTCTTTGTTATTAAAGGGTTAATTTTTTTCATTTTCATTAAATTTTAGACTTTAATTGTTTTGCACGAAAACATGTATTTTTCCGGCCACATTTCGGTTCTTTATTATTCAAAATATTTTCGCACAATTTCGCGGCAATTTTTTGCATAATTTTTGTCCCTCAAACCCGGCTCCTATTTCATGGGTGACTCAAAAGCCATCTCAGTTTTTGTTTGAGTGGAATGGTTTTTAATGTGACGCTGAGTTTTGCGCGTATGCAAATAGCACTGATAAAAATTACAGAGTCAAGATTGGAAAATTCTTTTGTTTGAAAATAATTGACCCGATCTCGGTGATTTAAATTCTGCGTTTTATAACAATCGTTTAAAATGTCGCATCAATATTCCTTACCGTCAACTCTAAAGCCTTCCACACAAACAGTGATCACTTCAAAAGTCAAACGTTGTTCGAGGAATTCTCCATGAGAACAACATATAAGAAGTGTATGGTACTAAGGGCGGAAGGAACTTTCACCAGCATTCGCGCCACCGTGGAGGATCAGAATGGATGGTCAGATAGGGGCTTGGGGTGTTTCTGAGGTTTTTGCATTGTAATTTAAACTTCCAGCTTTCACCGAAACGGAGAACTCCTCAAATACACGGCGTGCAGCAAATGAAAATCATTGTCTGGTCATAGGTTGTTTCTTGATTTCAAAAAGTGCGATCTTCAATACGAAATTGATCAGGAGCTCATTTGGCGAACTAAAAAACCTAGAAAGTTATTTATAATTAGTACCTTCATCTTCCAAGTCGCTTTGCGTTTCAAAATATTATTTGCATTACGAACGATTTCTAGATATCTGATACACTGTTTCATATATTTTTTTTTCTGCAAAAATCGTTTTGCATCGTTAAGTCTGACTAATCTTCATTTATTATACCTGCTAAATCGTTTTGTACTCTCAAAGTTTATAACGTAACGTGATGAGATTTTTGAGATGAATAGGCCGGAAAATGTTTAATAATTTTATTTTCCAAGTCACTTTTTGCAACCGAAATTCAGATGGCACTAACTACTTCTAGACGACTTACGAAATGTTTTGTTATTTATCTCTCCAGAAAGTCTTTTTTCCAACACTAAAATTTGCTAAGTATTTTTTTTAAGCCAATCGACTTAAACTCTTCAAATAGGTTTCGATCCCTGTATTTTGGCTGACAAGCCACATTGAGTCATTT